TCTTTCAAGCTTTAATTAGAGATTGGAGAAGAGTATGAGCTTGACCTCGGACGCCTACACCCAATCTGACCTTTAGAGCCTATAAGACAACCCTATAATCACAGGTCTACATGTTTTTTGCACAGCCGAAACAATAAATATTTCGGTTAGAATAAACCTGGTGGTCTCAATTTCGTGTAGTCTGCTATCAATTTTTTTGGAACTTTACTTCCTGCAAACGAGCAGTCGGATTATCTGATGGTAGGCAATCGACGCCGTCCATGTGCACCTGCAACACGAAAGGAGTTACCGGTTCGTTGTCGATCTTTTGACAATTGGGGAGGGGTGGGGAGAGAGGATGGGTTGGCCCTCCGTTAATCTGACTCAAAGGGCGAAATAACGATGATGATTGTTTTACTCGTGCTTTTTTAAAGTGAATATTTGTTGTCTCATGTTATGGTAACAATAGTGATATTTTTATAAAACAATAAGTCTGCAATTAAAGTTTAATTGTGGGAGAGCCCTGCTTCGGCACGAATGGGTCAAGTTAAATATCCAAATCCCTAAATCTAACATCTAACAAGGCCGGCAACTCGAACTTATCTCATTTGGGGTTGCAGGTGTCCATGGGCGGCGCCAGCAGATTGCTTACCATCAGGTAATCCGTAAGCTCGTTAGCCACCCTAAGATATAATAAAAATTCACCATCTAAGCACCAGTGTCAAGTTACCAAGTCAGAAGTGATTAGCGAAGTAATGTCAAACAAATATTGCACATCGATTATTAAGTTACGGAGTTGAATAAACAGTTTTCAAATATTTTCCATTGCCTAACGTTTTTCAAACCAGTTGCAACTAGTTTTAGTTAGATAGAATCGTATGATCTTTATTATATGTAGGTACCTTAGTGACTATAGTGCGTGTTTGCTTTGCGTTTCTTTTTAAGTGATCGGACGGCAAGTGGTTATAGATCTGATGGTGAACAATCAGCGCCGCCCATGGACTCACCCGCTACAACGGAGGAGTTACTAGTGCGTCGCCGACCTTTTGGGGATTTAGTAATTGAGGGAGGTAAAGGATTGGTCCTCCGGTAACCTTACTCACAAGGCGAAACACAACGCTGTAGTTGTTTCACGACGGTCTTGTGAGGCCATGGTATCAATCCGTTCGAGCCAACCAATTCGTCCCGAAGCATGGCTCTCCCACAATTCCACAGTTAAAGCAAGCGTTAAAGCAATCAAAGCATTTATGACGTTCGTCACTTTGATTGGCTGGCTCCAAGTTGACCAACCAATTAGATGGCTAAACGCGTTTTCTTTATATTATGCGGTATTAAAACTAAAAGCAGGGTAGGGAGTGTACTTACTTGTTTTACCGCTTTTCATACTTAGATTTTTTCAATCTCTGGGTACTTATAATTTTAAGTGCACTTCAGTGGCATATTACATTGCTCAACCCACCCGCCATCAGACCTCGCGGACAGTTTGTGACTTGTATCACAACCTTCCACTATATTGATGCATTCTGCCAAAAGCTTTGAAACAGAAATTAATTAAAGAATGCTTTTGGTCGTGTAACCATTAGCGTATTTATTTATATGTATACCAACAACATATTTCTTTCTGAACATTAGAATTATAGTTTCGCATTTGGAACGAAATACCTTAGGTATTATGTAGGTACCTATCCATCTATCGGGCAGACTGATGATTCTTTCGCAGTAATTGAGTACCAACTTAGTTTCCTAAGTCAAAAATAAATTAATTCGACGTTTCAATACAATAAAATACTGATACCTTTATTCATCGATACACTAAGTTTTAGATATTTTGTAGCTAAGTAAGTAAGCTATTTGACACAGAAATACTATGACGTCATAACTCAGTTTTTCATACTATACTCGGACTTTTAATTCCATTCCAGATTTGACAATTTCAGTGTTGCAACGTTATGACACGTATTAAATAGTGACGTTGCGAAATTATTCGATGTGGAAATCGAATATTTCTGAATCGATTCCTCTCGTAAACTAAGTTTATCAGGAAATAAAAGATTTGTGATCCGATAATTTAGTTTTGACAATTAATTAACGATCTGAGACTTTTCTTTTGTAATTGTGTGTGAAATAAATAAAAAATGTGATCATGAAGGAACATGACAAATAAAACAGAAATTTTATAAATTGTCGCCGTCATCGCTATCGCTATCGCTGTTACTTTCTGTAACATTTATTATAAATTGTGTCTGTGAATTTTATTGCCAATTAACATATCTAGCTTACTCATTTTTCCCCCTATTTTGACAACATGCGATACGCATTTAGACCATTCGGTAGCCGTAATTTTTTGAATGCCTTCCTGAAACTGATTCACTGATTGTTTATCGGTTTTTGTGTTCATCACTACACTGTTATATGTGGTATCATTATTTCACAAAATGACAATAGGTCATGTCAAATCAGGAATCGAATTAAAATTCCGACTATAGTAAAGTATCGTTTTTGACATTTGGATTATGTACCTATTGAATTTGACTAATTGGAAACTACCGTATTGAATTAAAACACCGCTAAAAGTTTTCATATAAAGCGGTTGACACTCGTCTAGGCCCTCTACAGCTAAATTTTATACGATACAGCGAACGAGTCGATAAGTACCATGGAAATATACCTATAGGTACCTACAAAATACCTACTTATTTTTGTATAATAACTACCTAACTATTGTGAGTACAGATAATATTCATTATTAGGTATGTATTTATTGTAAATAACAGAACCAATGATTCACGTAAATTAATTGAGAAAAGGTGTAATGTTGGCTGTTGGCTGCACAACATAGCCGCGACTCGCACGCTGATCTTGATAAAAATCCCAATAAGAGTCTCATTGTGATTTGAAAATAGTACGGTAGGTAGAGCTTTTCTCAATTAATTCTTTTTTCTTTTCTAAGTCATTCATTTCAATGGAAAAAATACCTACATTACTTACATACTTAGGTAAGTAATTTTTTTTCTTCGCATAAAATGACCGTACTGTGTAATTTAACTTAATATTTATTTAACTGCAACGATATCCTTATGCCAATAAAGGATTTATCTTACACGTGGCACAAGTTTCCCATGCAATTGTGTAAATACTTTATCAGTTTACTTGATATGGAAATACCTAGGTACTTAGGTAGGTAAGTACTTATAACAATCCGTGGCATGCGTGTGGGTACCTTATTATTATTCTTCTCAAATATATTGGTCCTTGTTTGTTTTGCAACAATGTTATTTAATTAATTACGTCGCAGAAGGGAGGTATCGACGTAGGTAGGTACGTACTTATTATAATGGGTCTAAAATATATTATTGCTTGCTGCAGAATGTTTGGAATGCGATGAGTTCTTATTAAGCTACCTATTTTTTATGGAATACCTACTTAGGCGGCAAATGAGGAATATCTGATAGCAATATGGCGCATGGCGCCGATTATTGTCATCCATAACATTAGAGGAGTTACGAAAGAACGAAATGTAGGATAGAAAATGCGTTTATTCGGAATAAGACACAAAGGCCAGGAACAAAAAAAAATACAATATAGGCTCTCATAGGTGTTGCGGATGTTTGATCCATGAATCATATGTAATTTGATGAATTAAAAATTCGATTACAGAAAGTTCAAGGTCAAAAAGAAAGTGTGGGAGAGCCAAGCTTTGGCCCGACCGGAGTGAAACCACAGCCTGATATTAAACCGGCGTGAAGCTACCACAACGTTGTGTTTCGCCGTATGTAGTAGGTACTGGAGACCCAACTAAATAGCTCCTCTGGTGATGCGAGTGTGTATGGGCGGAGTCGATAACTTACCATTACCATTAAGTAATTTTACATAAAATAAAAGTGCGTGAGTAAATAAAATAAAATATAAGTGTGGTAGAGCCATGCTTCGGCACGAATGGGTCGGCTCGACCGGAGTGATACCACGGCCTCACAGAAAACCGGCGTGAAACAACCACAGCGTTGTGTTTCGCCGTGTGAGTGAGGTTACCGGAGGCCCAATCCTTCCCCACCCCTAATCCCTAAATCTCCAAATCCATATTCGCTACAATATGGGCACCGCACTCGTAACGCCTCTGTTGCGGGTGTCCATGGGCGGCGCTGATTGCTTACCATCAGGTAATCCGTCTGCTCGTTTGCCGATCTATTACATAAAAAAAAAGACAAAATCTTCAAATTCTTCAGTAGGCTGCGCGACGTCGCCGCGTCCGCGCACGCTGCTCATGAGGAAGAACCCCTCTGTGGTTGGAAACTAGTAGAGCTTTCTCAATATTATACACGTGAGTAATCCGCCATTTTGAGTATGCCTCACAATATTTATTATAAAACAGACAAAAACTTTCTGGATAATACATTATTTAAGTACCTAAGTAAGCATATATAGGTATTTTACATGGAATAATTGAATTGCTGACATGACAATATTGATTTCAATGTCATTAGCTTTAAGTATTTACCAATCGAATGCAATTATCAAAGTGCAAACAAGCAATATAGGTACGAGCTGTTGTAACTGTTAGCATTATTTTTAATGAATAGCAAATATAGGTTTAGCCTTGTTTATGTTGATCTATTTATTAATTTTAAAATGAGTTAAGTAGACTGGTAAATCGATTACTACGCGAGGTATAATTAATTCATATAGATATATACAGTTTCTTTATTTTTCTTTTGTTGAGGGGAAAATCATCAAATGGCTTCTCTCGCTCAGGTTGAGGCGTGAGGGTGTCAGATAGGGTTTTTTTTAGTAAGTAGGCAAAAAACCCCCTTTCCTTCTCCTGTTCTAGGCCAAGGCCACGGTACCTTATTGCGATAGCCGCACCGCAGGTGTGAGAGTCATGCATCCCCTACCGTAATCCTCAAAACCTCTATCCTTAAATACCTTAAAACCCGTAAAAGAGTAAGTATACAGTATAAGGGCGAAAGAAGATAGAAGAAGGAAAAGACCAACAAACAATACAAAAAATATATAATAATGTTACACTTATAATAAAATTCTAACATTAAAACTTCAGTTTAGACTCGTGTAAAGTCAATATCTTCTCAACTTCTTGAGCTCGTTCTTTTAAAGTGACCAATTCTTCTTTAGAGAGCACCTCACTCTTCTTTCCGGCATTTTTGATGAGAAAATGTTGTATGAACAAACGGACACTTTCTCTGAACATGTGGAGTTTGGGAGGTTTCGAAATTCGGTGGAAGACTTCTAAAGAAGATTGGAAATCCGCATTCATGATTATGGAGAGAAGAATCTGTCGCATGAAGCGGACTGTGTGCTTGTTTAGTTCTGAGAATTGTATTACCTGAGGACAGAGAGAGATTTGTTAGGCTCCATTATTATATATGTTGTATATTCTTGAAAAGCTTTTCATCAAGCTTGAATTTTCCCCTGTGACATTTTTTTTTATGTGATAGTACGGCAAACGAGCAGACGGATTACCTGATGGTAAGTAATCAGCGTCGCCCATGGGCACCCGCAACAAGGAAGGAGTTACGAGTGCGTTGCCGACCTTTTAGGGACTGGGATTTTGGGGATTCAGGGATTGGGGTAGGGGAAGGATTGGGCCTCCGGTAACCTCACTCACGCGGCGAAACACAACGTTGTGGTTGTTTCACGCCGGTTATCTGTGAGGCCGTGGTATAACTCCGGTCGAGCCGACCCATTCGCATTCACAAGTTGCTCAACCACAGTGCCAACTGTGCAATCAATTGTATTATTATTCTAACATTAAAACGTTAATGTTTAACGGCCCGCGATCCAGAGCTCAGATCAGGTAGGGGGCTTATAATCAAGAGCGCATCGTATGTCGCGGAAAGCTGCTTATGAATAGGTATAAACTTCTTTTGCTTGAAACTTGTCAAGTTATCTCGCCAAATATGTAGTTACGTGAGTAAGCTCAAAGTGTGGGAGAGCCATGCTTCGGCACGAATGGGTCGGCTCGACCGGAGTGATACCACGGCCTCACAGAAAACCGGCGTGAAACAACCACAGCGTTGTGTTTCGTCGTGTGAGTGAGGTTACCGGAGGCCCAATCCTTCCCCTTCCCGGACCCTTCCCCAATCCCTAAATGGTCAGCAACGCACTCGTAACTCCTCCGTTGCGGGTGTCCATGGGCGGCGTTGATTGCTTACCATCAGGTAATCCGTCAACTCGTTTGCCGACTTATTACATTAAAAAAAAGCCGTTAAACATAACAATTAAATTAATGTCTAATTTAAAAAATGAATAAATGTCTCCGGAAATGTATTGTTCTAATTGACCAAATCCCAAGCGAACGCCGGCTGTCGCGCACCTATTGATCTTCTATTGTATCTCGAATTAACACGATTGAAAGTTTAATATTAGAGCAACTAAAAGAGCTTTTTGGCGAACTCCAAAACTGCTGGTTTGAATTAAACAATATTTTTTTGTTACATACTTAGTTTATTTATCGACAAAGGCTATATACGTTAGAAAACATCACGCTACGGTTAATGAGAGCTGAGCAGCGGGAGAAGCAAGCTTTAAATATATCAACAGGCAAGCAGAACAGAATGTATAGGTATTTAAAACTATATCTATATTTCCAGTGTCGGGATATGGATAAGACCTTATTTTATCCTGTAGTTAATAATCTTACCTTTAATACAGAAAGTGCAAGTCCTTTCTCCATGATGAGGTGTATGAGGAACTGCGCCAGGTTCGTCGTGGACTGCTTTGATATACTGTCCAGCTCCTTAATCTTATCCCACACTGAGAACTGGATTGAAAGCTGGAATATAACGCAGAAATATTATTAATTGTACCTGAAGACAACTTTCTAAAGACTGACAAACAACGCTAAAGCAATAAAATAAAATGGACAATAGCTCTATGTATTTATTTGTTTGTGGATAGGTCGGCAAAGAGCATGTGGTACATCGATGCTGACCATTGATGTTAATAACCAAAGGATTCGATGATTGAGGGTTTAGGAATTGGGAACGGAGTGGAGATTTGAGTATACCGGATAAAAAAAGGGAGATGGGAGAAAGGGAAACGGGGTTGATTGATCTTTTAGTAGCCTTACTGACACGGCAAAACAAAACGCACGTTATTACAGGCTGGTTTTTGGTGAAGCCCCGGCATCATATCGATTAAGTCGCTCATTCGTGCCGAATGTTTTTTTGGTATGTATTAGGTCGGCAAACGAGTAGGCGGATTTAGAGTTACGAGTGCGTTGCCAACCTTTTAGGGAATATGGATTTGGAGATTTAGGGATCGAGAGGGGAGCGGTTGATCCTCCGGTAACCTCACTCACACGGCGAAACAACGCTGTGGTTGTTTTACGCCGGTTTTCTGTGAGTATCAATCCGGTCGAGCCGACCCATTCGTGCCGAAGCATGGCTCTCTCACACTTAAAATTAACGTATAATTATAACGTACAATACGTATTAATAAATGTATTTGAATATAAAGAGTTGAATTTCATCCAGAAGCTTTACGCTTATTACATCTCCAATAAAATCATAAAGATCCAGTTATGATAAAGATTGTTCGAAATAAATAATAACTTCAGCCATTTTGATGCTAAAAACCACTAAAAATATGGACGAAAGCACAAAAGAAAATAACATTCAACTTTCGACCTTACGCACCTGGTATTTCCGATCAGTATCGCATAGCTTCTGTCCCAGCACTGCATAGTATGGGTTATAAGTCTTCTCCTGAAGACAGCATGCTAGTAACACGTGTACTATCTCCCTCTCTTGTTGCCCTTTCAGACCTAAATGTTGGAGTTTCTCAAACGCGTCCATATAGTCCTGAAAATATAGAAAATAAAATTAGGGTTATTTTTCTAGAAGTAATCGGCCTGGAGCAGGAGAAAGAACAGGCTTTTTACTCAGGGCCTTTGTTTGTTGGAGGAAAATCATCAAACACCTCAATATAGGCAAGAGGGAGTATTAGACTCTTGACTGACTAAAATTGCTCCTTCTTGCCCCGCAACCCCGGCTAGAGGCGATAGAACTAAGTCACGTAAATTAAATGAGAAAAGCTTCAAGTTCAAAGTCTTCCATCCCGAATGCCCAAAAAGTCGGCACCGCACTCGTAACGCCTCTGTTGCGGGTGTCCATGAGCGGCGCTGATTGCTTACCATCAGGTAATCCGTCTGCTCGTTTGCCGATCTATTACATAAAAAAACAAGTACTTTAGGTACCTAAAGTAGTATTGAATATTGTGTATAGATGGTAAAGTGTGGGAGAGCCATGCTTCGGCACGAATGGGTCGGCTGGACCGGAGTGATACCACGGCCTCACAGAAAACCGGCGTGAAATAACCACTGCGTTGTGTTTCGCCGTGTGAGTGAGGTTACCGGAGGCCCAATCCGTCCCCTTCCCCAATCCCTCCTCAATCCCTAATCCCTGAAAGGTCGGCAACGCACTCGTAACTCCACCGTTGCGAGTGTCCATGGGCGGCGCTGATTGCTTACCATCAGGTAATCCGTCTGCTCGTTTGCCGACCTATTACATAAAAAAAAAAACCTTCTAGAACTTACCTCAGCAGCCATTATAACACAGAAGATGCTGCGTCTCACATCAGTGTTCATCCTCTGCTGCCGGGCTAGCTCCAGCAGTTTCTGATCAGCAGTGGGCACTGTCTTGTTGCTGGGCTTCTCCTCCAGCCTGGGCATGTTGCCTTCCCATGCTGAACCTACCACCCACCATTTGCCGCGCTCGTCCGCTACGAAACACGACGAAAAATTATATTGGCGACATCTATTGTTAGTTCTATTAACAATTTGCTACCAAATGTATAATAGCTGCAGTCAAATAGTTGAATAAGCCATCTAACTAACGGCCAGAGTCACTAGTCATCTAATTGAATAACTAAATTTTTCATTCAGGTTGTAAATTAAAAGATGGAAAAGTTATCATGAAAACCGGGCTGCTATAAGAATGGTAGTTTAGGTAAGGTAAAAACTGTGAAATGCACAGAAATCAAATAATCACCACAAATAAATAACTATCTAAAATGGACTTCGATCAAAGGGCTAGTTTAATCATGAAATGCCTTTTTTAAACAGTTGGCTGCACATACTTCAAAGATGGACGACTGATAGTAATTGCAGTGTCGCTCATGGACATCTAATCACACCATACTTTATGACACTGAAGCTGCTGGCCTATCGGTGCCAAATTATGATTATCACTAGCCAATAAGTGGTCAATGCTGAGCAAAAGCCTCTTGTCTCACGGAGGTTTGAGCATTAATCACCATGCTTGCTCAAGCCAGATTGGCAATATCAAAGTTATAATTAGATTTCATATGTCCAGCTTTCCTTCACCGTATGTCAGTTGTGTCTAAATAATCATAGAAAGTATATGTAACTAGGGCAAAGTCACATTGGTACTTGCCAAATGGCCCCTATTGCACGAGTTAACATGTTAAACTCACCTTTCAACAGGTCCTCAAGCCTAATGTTTAGTGGTGTGATGTAGTTGCCCTTCCTGATGATGGTTCTGGTCATCTTCTTAAGGTGCTCGGCGTACGTCGGCTCGTAGTTAGGTATCTTCGTCAAGTTGTTGTTCTTCACAGCCATTAGAACTTCTAACAGGAACTTTATACGAGATCTGTAGTGAAACATTTGTTTTAGTACTTATTTGTTTGCGTAATGAATGTTGTTGCGCATATTTTGCGCAAATGATAAGTTGTTTGCGCATTTTTTTCATTAACAAATTAGGACTTGCTTTTTGTTTTAGTATTATGATAAATTTTTACTCAACGTAAATGCGATTTAGAACATAATAGCATATTCGTTTCTAAAGTAGCCTATGTGTTATTCCAGACTATAATTTATCTCTGTGCCACTTTTAATTAAAATGCATTCAATAGTTTTTACGTGAAAGACTAGCAAACACGTTTATAGTATTAATATATCTGTTTTTTTTATAATTAGAGCCTCTTGCCTGTGGCGTAAGGATCATATTCGCATGAAGGTTTTTTCTTCTCATTACGGCTATAAGCTATTAATTCAAACTCTTACCCTGCAGCAGAAGCTTCATTTAGCTTAGCGACACGTCCCTGCGTGTCATGTATGAAGTTCTTCAGAGCTAACGGTTCCTCTTTCCTAAGCACTCCTCCCACACACCGTAGAGCAACCAGAACACATTCTATATTCTTCTCTGATATGGAGTCCAGAAGACGGGTCAGAATGTCATATAGAAGAGTCGCGTGATAAATCTGTAATGGAAAATACATAGGTATGATACAAAGTTTACAATAACGCTTTGCGCCAATGTTTTTTCATGGGACAGGTCGTCAAACAAGCAGACGGATTACAAGGGCGTTGCTGGCCTTATGTTGTTTTGTTAGGGATAGGGGGATTGGGGATTTGGGGATTGAGAATAGAAGGGGGAGGATTGGGCCTTCGGTAACTTTACTCATACGCCGAAACACAAGTGCTCAAGCATGGCTCTTTCACACGTAATAGTGATTTTCCGTCATTTTTTATGAGTTTTATGAAATAGGGTGGGACTTCTGCATAAAATATTGTTTTACAGATTCAATAGACATGGTTGGCCGGTGGATAAATGGCCTTATTAACGTTTATATGTAATAGCTTTCTTCTTTAGGGTTGTGGCGATTTAGGGATTGGAGAAGGAAGGGAGATTGGTATGGAAATTTTATAAATAATTGTAAATACCTTGAAGCTATACAAATGAGCAAGGCACGCCACCAAGTTATCGAGGGTTTTGTCGCCGACTGGTTGTGGTGTCTGCATCATGTCATCGAACCGCTTCGATAACTCTTGCAAGAAGTGGGCTCCTAGGAAAACATAACAATAATATGGTTTAGAATAAGTGGTTGTACGTTTTTATTGGTTGGTGTATACTCGGAATTTTAATTCCATTCCAGATTTGACAATTTCAGTGTTGCAACGTTATGACGCGTAATAAATAGTGACGTTGCGAAATTATTCGATATGGAAATCGAATATTTCTGAATCGATTCCTCTCGTTTATAAATTTACTCTGGTAAACTAAGTTTATCAGGAAATAAAATATTTCTGAGCCGATAATTTAGTTTTGACAATTAATTAACAATCTGAGACATTTCTTTTATAATTGTTTGTGAAATTAATAAAAAATGTGTTCATGAAGGAACATGACAAATAAAACAGACATTTTATAAATTGTCGCCGTCATCGCTATCACTATCGCTGTTACTTTCTGTAACATTTATTATGAATTGTGTCTGTGATATTTATTGCCAATTAACATATCTAGCTTACTCATTTTTTCCTCTTCTTTGACAACATGGGATACGCATTTAGACCATTCGGTAGCCGTAATTTTTTGAATGCCTTCCTGAAACTGATTCACTGATTGTTTATCGATTTTTGTGTTCATCACTACACTGTTTTATGTGGTATCATTATTTCACAAAATGACAGTAGGTCATATCAAACTAGGAATCGAATTAAAATTCTGACTATAGTTGCGATGTGTGACAATCCTATAGTTGGAACATCTGTTAAAATTGTAGACCGTCTCTGTAGACTATAGATGCAATAAAGACTTCGAATTTACTTGTAAGATTGTCAATTATTTTTAGATGGTAATTTAGTAAATAAATTTCTAGTGGGTTTATCATCAAGTTAGGTCACAACAGGCGAATTATTTATTTCAATTCGACCATTAAAGGCAACTTTTAACAAATTAATTAAACATAAGAAGTAAAAAGATCCAGTCTGTTGATCTGCACTCTCGTGAAGCTATTTGCTTGTTCTTAAGTATAGATTCTTATGAAGAAGAACGAGCAAATAACTCCATGGTTACTTTTTCCATCGGTTTTCATTTACTCGTTTCTGCTCCCTTCTAGCCATAGTGTTCTTTAAACTCTGATGGTAAGTGATCAGCGCTTACTTAGCGCGGTAACTTTACCTTTACGGCGAAACAAAACGCATGTTTTCACACAGGTTTTCTTTGAGGCCTATGTTATAGCTTCCGTCAAACTAGTCCATATACTATGTCACATCAAAAAATTCAAAATCACTACATAGTATAAAACAAAGTCACTTTCTCTGTCCCTATGACCCTATGTATGCTTAAATCTTTTAAACTACGCTATGGATGCGGATTATGATGCTTTTTTTAAATAAATAGAGTGTTTGAAGAAAGGTTAAATTTAACCTACCATAAACACATGACTTTGCCACGTATAAACCTGAAATTAATAAATAGACTTTCGCCATCTACTTACCGATCTCAGACCCGACATTAGCATGCAACACAGATACAAGCGCTGCATGTTCCGCCAACATTCTGTCCGGTGTAGCGGCCGGGGACACCGTGGCGTCCAACCACAACTGAGTCAGTGCAGTGTTCACTGAGTTCCTACTGTTGCACTGGTACAAGTTCTCTATTGAAGTACACGCCCAGTGTAGGTTTGTGCCTGCTAGTTTATTGAGAATACCTGGAAGAGAGACGCATTAGAATTAGGTGATTTAAGGCACTTTTTCAATTTCATACAAAATATCTAAATATAAAAAGTGTTCCTAGTGAAGTCATTGGTTGTGCATTGTAGAGCTCTATGCGGAAGAATTAAAATCATTGTTTCCCCTTGATAGTATAAGTCAAATTCATATACAATTATGTGTGTTCATACCTAAGCCATATTCTTTTTCATGTTACCATTACAAAGTTACTAGTTATTTCCTTATTATTTAAAAAAAAAATCTAGAAAATGTTTTGGTAGTGCTGTGTTTATTTTTTTTCTGTGACGCCCTGATATGGCTCTCCCACATTAAACTTATTTACTTACTTTTAATTTGCCTCTTCAATTGTTGCAGCTGTTTATCAGAACTCGAATCTTTATTCCTTAAATGAGGTGGAATGTAGACACCTTTTTCTTCCTGTAAGCAAAGAATGAAAGTGAACTTAAAAACCACTGGGATATCCTCCTTTGTTATACACACAATATTGTTAACTTTGAAGCTAAGGGAAGGGCGAGGTAACCCCACCACAAGTATTGTATAACTTAACAGGGATGCCTCAAAGTGTTGCATGACTATGTACAAAGAGAAACAATAAACCATTTATTTATTTATTTATTTACTATTTATTATGTTATGGGTTTTTTTATGTGATACAGCAGCAACTAAACGAAGAGGCAGATTACCTGACGGTAAGCAATCGGCGCCGCGTAATCCAGTAATCTTACTCACACGGCTAAACAAATAATATCACATATACTACTCTGTCAAGACAGTACCGGGAAAAAGTCAATAATACACAAAATGTTTGTTATTCATCTAAATTTATTTTATCACCTTCAAAGTATGCTCCTTCAGAAACGATACACTTACGCCAACGAATAATCCAATCATCGAAACTTTTTTTAAACGTTGTTTCCGGAATTGAGTTCAGTGCTCGCCGCGAATTCTCCTTTATGTCTTCTAACGATTGAAAACGGGTGCCACGAAGGGTTAATTTGAGTGTGGGAAAAAGAAAGAAGTCGGCTGGAGCCATATCTGGTGAATATGGTGGCTGCTCGATGGTGTTTGTTGAGTGTTTGGACAAAAAATCGTTTACAATGATGGCCTTGTGCGAAGGCGCATTATCGTGATGCAAAATCCAAGAATTTTCTTTCCACATTTCTGGCCTTTTTCGTCGAATTTGTTCTCTTAAACGCCGCATAACGCTCAAATAATATTCTTTATTTACCGTTTCACCTTCGGGCAAGAATTCTGAGTGCACAACACCGCGATAGTCAAAGAAAACAGTCAACATGACTTTGACTTTTGATCGACGTTGACGTGGTTTTTTCGGTTTTGGTTCAGTTGGAAGGCGCCATTCCGAAGCTTGTTGACTAGTTTGCATGTCAAACTCGTAAACCCACGTCTCGTCACCAGTAACAATGCGTTTCATGAATGTTGGGTCGGTATTGACTAGTTCTAGCATGTCCTCAGCGACTTTCATGCGATTTAGTTTTTGAAGAAAATTCAGGTCTTTTGGGACTAGCCGAGCGGCAACACGTTTCATACCCAAATTATTTGTTAAAATGGTACGGATCGTCTCGTGAGATACAGAAAGTTCGGCGGCCATCTCTCTCAAACTTGAATGAGGATTTTCAGTCACTATTTCCTTCACTTTTGCGATGTTAACTTCAGTTGCAGACGTTGATGGCCTACTAGAACGAGGCAAATCTTCCATCACATCTCGACCGCTTTTGAACGCTTTGTACCACTCATAAGCACGTGTTTTTGATAAAGTCGATTCACCGTAAGCCTTCTGTAACATTTTGAGTGCCTCCGAACACGAAATTTCATTGGCGATGCAAAATTTAAGACAAACTCTTTGTTCGATGTTTTTGTCCATTATGAAATTCGCAATACACACTAGATATTATAAAACTAAAAACAGCACTGTTTTTAATATAAATAACAGATGCAACTCAAATTCATGTAATGTAAAAAGTTAAATGGAAAACAGTTATGCCAATCTAAGAACAACAAAAAAAATTAAAATTCGAATTTGGAACCATAAAAAAAACATTAATTCCCGATACTTTGTTGACTGAATGTATGTATAAGCGCAGACCCGGAACAATAATTTATGGATCACGAAGTTGTCCCGTGCGGGAAGTGATCCCGGAACGCAACTAGTTGCGCAACCAGCGGCGCCTTGACTGTGCTGGTATAAAGTGAATCTACTATTGGTGGTCTTATCGCAGAAGGCGATCTCTTACAGACAAGCAGAGGGAGCCGTAACATGGTGTCAGAGTATACAAAGTATAACCTTAAATTAGTTATCGGTAGTGGGAGCCATATAGCATCATAGACAATCATCAAGTGTGGGAGAGCCAAGCTTCGGCACGAAAACGGCCTCACAGAATACCGGCATGAAACAACCACGGCATTTTGTTTCGCCGTGTGAGTGAGGTTACCGTAGGCCCAATCCCGCCCCTTCCCCTATCCCTTCCCGACCCATACCCCTATCGCCAAAAGGACGGCAACGCACTCGTAACTCCTTTGGTGTTGCGGGTGTCCATGGGCGGCGTCGATTGTTTACCATCAGGTAATCCGTCAGCTCGTTTGCCGATTTATACCATAAAAAAAATAGACAACAAGTATCTTCATCTTTGATTCAAACTTAAAATCAACCTTAAACTGAATGAATTTTAATTTCAATTTTACTTACCTTTATAACATTGCCTTCCTTATCTCTTTTCCTTCCATAAATATCTTCCCAAATGTCTGGTTTCTCTTTCTTTTCTACAACAGGAGCACTGTCTTCATCTAATTCATCATCATCATCGTCATCGCCAGACAGATGTGATATTTCATCATCACTGAAAACTTTACTAAGATCATCTTCTTTAATGATCTTCTCTTTTTTGCTTGATTGTTTGTCTGTCTTTGTGTCTTTTGCTGTTTTACTGTCATCCTTCTGTTTGGCTAGCTTTTGTTTCTTTGCTTTTGATGTTTTTGTTGGTTTTTCTGTAATTGTGATTGGATTAGTTTTTAACTGTATTAAGGAAAGTACTGTGTGTATTCACTATCTATAAGTGTTGGTTGATGGATTGAGTCTCGTGGCGACACAAAATTATCTCTATAATAATTCAATGAGAGTAATAAGTATTAAGAAAGCAATATTCATCTTTTAACAAGAGCTTACATAGATAGGGACAGGATAATCTTGGGTACACCCTTGTCCTTGAATTGAATAGACCAACAAACAAAACAAGATTTGAAAATATAACTAAGGACATACCTTCAGGACCTTCATCATCACTATAGCCATTTTCTTCTTCTTCAATATCACTGTCTCCTTCACTCATGTCTTCATCTCCCTCATTTATATCGCTATTTGCCTCACTCTCATCACCATCTCCTTCACTTCTATCCTCATCACTCATATCTTCATCTCCCTCACTCATTACTCCATCCTCTTCACTTAAATCTTCATCAAATTCATCTCCACTTGCCATTTCATCATCAGAACCTATATCCTCATCACTTTCTTTATGAGTGGTCTTGTCTTTCTTCTTATTTTTCTTTTTATCTTTTATTTCTTTCCCTGTTACTGCTGCTAGGTCTTCTTCAAAGTCAGAATCTGCTTCGACTTCAGCTAGATGCTTCTCTGCTGCCACAATTTGTTCTGTCGTTGATTTGTCACAAATCTCTAGTAAATCTGTTATTGTTGTGTTAGGGAATTAAATATTTAATAAACAACATTGATGTGATTAATCTCTTGCCTCTCAACATGATATGCATTAAAATTAAAGAACTGCTACAAGTACAACATAGAAATTTGTAAAAGAACTAAATAAAATGAAAAATATGGCAAATAATGTTTGCAGAAAGACATCATGAAAAATTTGAAATTTAGTCAAATCAAACATTCAGTATTGGAATTTATGGCATTTATTTTAAGGCTTAAGGCATCACTTGCATGTACCCCCGAGACAGGGTGGTTAGACCTCTAATGCAAAACTTACCTTGTTACATCTAAGTTAAGTCCCGAATATGGTAAGTATAATTTGTATATTCCTAAACATAGAAGAACACAAATAAAAAATTAGATTTAAAAAAAGGATACAGTCAAGTCCATCATCAGCGAAATAGCTGTTTTTGTTCTTTGTCTTGTTGAGTCCCAGCTGCTTCTCCAATTTCTTAATTATCTTGTCTTCTTCTTCATTAGCCTGCTGCAACATCCTCTTTCTCTGTTCCTCCATCTCATTTTTCAGCTTTTTTTCTACATTCATCTCTTTCTGCCGTTCTTTGTTCAGGATGTCTAATGGAGTTTCTAGTTTTTGCTTCTTTTTCTGAAATGAAATACAAAGGTAATGATTTAATTTTTTGGTATGATATTATACTTACAATTTATGTCAGTAGCAATCCCTAGGGGTGGTGTTGGCGATGCAAGACCACCATAACTCAGTTTATGTATCGCATATATAAGTTATACGCAACACAAAGATAAAAAAGTTTAAAAAATACCCACTGCTGCCATGATTTATAATCACAATAAAATAACATTATTCTGACGTATTTTATTACCTTCACTTCGACTTTCGGTTCCGGCGATTCAGCAGGTCTTTTGACAAACCTGCCAGCTGTGTACACTGGCTGCTGCTTCTCAACATTCTTCTTCAAGTAATGTTCTTGCCGGTGCACCTTTTTTTGCTGGCGTTTTTGTTTCCGGAGCAGTTTTCTCGTATTTTCGAACCTTGGTTTCGCATTTGATTTATTTTTCTTCATTTTAAACACTTTACAACTCTCACTACCACAAAATACTCATCGAAATTTGCCTACTACACAAGTATAACACACTATTTTGAGGTTATTTTCAATATTTACTGATCTGATTCCACACGAGTGTCACATCAACTTTGACTTTTGAAGTTTTGGATTGGATTTGACAGTAGTAGTCTTTGACACGTTCTTCGTTCAGAATCAGAATATTAGTTAACTTTCTATGAATTCTTTCTTAAAAAATAATTGTGTGTGATTTTTTACCGTTACTAAAACACAAAATGATAAGCGTCTCCAAGAGCACTTACAGTATTTAAAATAGTCTATGATTGAATCTTTTGTAAACTTTTGATTGCGTTGCGAAACGATAATTTCAGAAACAGAATGTCTTAGAGCCTGCGTTTCGTTGCACGTATTAACTTGCCTATTGAATAGTTTATAAAATTTTTTTTTGCAACTCTGCTTAGAAAAATTGTTTAACGTGTCAGGAGCCTTTATTTGTGGTAATTTCTCTTTATAAAACATATTAACATTCTATTATTTCCTGTTATCCTATAAGCGTTTGAGAAACTTTAAAACCGATTGTGCGCGTCTAACGGAATAAAGGAACGATGTCAGTTTGCCTTGCCAATTTGTCTATGATAAAAATTCACAAAGGCATGACGGCTGTTACCTTTTTGTGAAGAAATCCAAAATTATTAATAAATCGAAGAGCACACGGTTTTTAACACCTGCTCCGTGTTTTTTTTGTGATAAGTTACTCATTTCCCTTACGGCATGATGGTGGAAGGGTCAGCGTTTACACGGAACGATGTGTTCCAAATGGCAATACGAGTTGCTTTTGTGTCGGCTGTGACTTATTTTTCAATAAAATGGCTCGTGAACCAGATAGACCCAACGTCCAAGAGTCGAAAGAAGGCTGAGGAGCGAGCCCGCGAACAGTTACGCAAGTAAGTATCGATCGGTTCTTTACGTCATAACACGAGATTTTTACGTATTTTTAATCTTATATCTTATTAGAATCCACTTGTAATACAAACTAGAGTTCACATTGGCTGATAAAGCAGTTTTAAATGTCTCACAACTCATGGTGATAGCTAACCTACATTACAACCCTCAGAATGTGTTTATCTGCTAATGACAGATAAACCTGCCAATCATTACCATCACATAGCATGTTTATTGTTGCTAATTTAAGATCATAACTATCAATAGAGTGAAATTATCCAAATACATAGTACATTCATAACTGAAGATCGAGAATCATATTAATTATTTTCCTGAAGCCTCTAATTTTAAACTAAGCTAGTAAGAGCCATGCCAGATTCAGTACAGTCCTGGTGCAATATTTTATGTCATACAAGGCAACCTATTTAATTATAAATAATTCAAATTACTATCATCCTACCTATTTTCATTATTCCTGTTGGATGTACCCCTGTGCGTTTTGACCTTTAGAAGAATTTGCTACTGTTATTACACTGGTGAGATTTGCTGTAATCTTGTACATACTTAATCCTTATTTAACAAACTATAATTTTAATCAAAAACCATTTACCTAGAATACAAATCTATGGCCAAACATGAGCCAAGATTCTAGTTCATACATTAATACAAAAAAGAATATGTTTCAGGACATACATTTTTCTTTATTCAAATAGGACTTCTCATAATACTTTTTCTCAAACAATCTTATTCCTCCAATCCATTATTATGATTATACACATGTATTCCTATTATCATGACTACAACTTCCTGTTAGGCAAATAATCCTGAAATAGGCTTTAAAAAGTCTTTATATTCCAAAATGAACTTACAATAGCTCATTATAATACCTATTCTGAAATTATCATAATGTTGTTGAATGAAACATTATTGCGTGAATTATTTATTACATCCATGAAGCTACAACATTGCAGTGAAAAGTCCAACTGAGATTTTCTGATAACCTGTGTACTGAAGATTCATTAATGTTGAGTGAGACTTGAATCTCTATTCAGCGCATTTTTGTGTGAGCTGACAATGTTAAAAGATAATAGTTGCAGCCATAAGTTGCATAAGTGTCAGATTAATATCTAAATCTGAAAAGTTGAAATTGACATATAATATATTACTAGCTTTTTCCCACGACTCTGTTCGCATGGAATAGTGAGTTCCTGCAGATTTTTGGTTTAAAAACTATCCTATGTACTTTCTGGAGTTCCAAACTATGTCTGCACCAAATTTCACACAAATAGGATCAGTAGCTTAGGTGTAAAGACAGATGGACAGACAGAGTTATTAATTTGGATTAAAGTGTCTACACATACATCAAATAACAATTTGATACATGTGTGTGATCATAAATTCCCCCTTTTATTTTCAAGGGAAAAACATTTTAGTTACATATTTAGGACTTATCAAACTACTTAAAGGCCTATTAAAAGTAACTGTGTAGGTGTCATAAATTATTCATACATGTTCTTTGTGATTTTATTACATTCCATATTCACCAAGAAATGCTATTTACCTAATTATTTTTTTATAATTTTTTGTTGTATAATTTTGTTTTATAAAAATTCATAAAAAAACATTAAATATCTACAAATATTTATTGTTTTTATGAATTTTTTGTCTCTGTGTCTGATCTCTACATGTGGCTGTTGTTTTATACTAATAAGTGGCTTTAAATGCACAGCTTAACTGCAGATGACATGTCAATTACTGATTGCTTGGCTTTCCACCAACACTTTGCTTAACTTAAAAGAATTTACCTATTTTTTGTACATTTAAAGAAATTATTATCTGGTCAATGAATGAGGATCATATAGGATTCCAGTAATAATCATATTTCTGGTCAGTCTCCAAATTTTTACTAGTTTCATTAAATGATTGATTCAAATACCAGACATATCCCAGTATCAAGTTTTTTTTGGAACCCAGCAAAATAAGATATAACCAGAGCTTTAGGCTGTTATAAGGGAGCTGGTTATTAAAAATATACAGAGAATTGTAAATTACGAAAAAAAGTTTTTAGCGAAACTGCAACCAGTCTTAATTTTCTTTATTAGACGGATTACTTGATGGTAAGCAAATTTGGCGACGCCAATGGGCAACGCAACACAAGGAGAGTTAGAAGTGCATTGCTGGCCTTTTGGCGATTAGTGATTCAGGGATCCTTACCCTAATATAAAGTATTGTGAAGTCAACAGACAAGCATGGGGATTATGGAAAACTCGTCGACATGATTGAAAGGATAATTTAAAAAACTTAATTGTGTAACTACCAGCCCCTGCCTTCCCTATAACGATGCTATAGACTGAAAACTACGTGTTTGTACGCGAAAAAAAGAAAAGAAATAATTAATACTTGAAGTAGGGAACATCTTTTATGATTTTATTTATTTATTTATTTATTTATTCACTTCATGCACAATTTATTTGTACATAAGGCGGACTTAATGCATTGAGAATTCTCTACCAGTCGACCTTTACTTTTATTTATTCGATATCGAACCCGGTTTTACGTCTATAGAAATATGTATTTCATTTTCAAATTACCAACATGTTAATTAAAAAAAAAATATGCATTTATTTTCCACCACTAATGTAAGAACAGTTTAGACAGTATATAACAATTCAAGGGTGGACTGGAGCCTAAACTAGGGAACCCCTGTATTTCAGGACTCCAGGTCACTCTTCATTGCAATCGCAATTAAATGAAAATTCATCTCCGAAGGTTTTACTCTATACTGAAACTCTTAACCCGTAGTTTCTATGATAACCGCATGCATCTGCAGTTAAAATGTAAACAAATAAAGCTTGCTAGTTGCATGGATGTTTTGTCGACATACAAAAGGTTATTATAAACGGCCACTGTACAGACCATGCATGTGTTAAGGATGTCTTGCAGAGCGGGGCTCGGCAACAAGCACTCCATCGCGTTGGACAAGCTCACCGACCATGAGATGATCATCGCTTCACAGCTGGTCGTGCCGGATGAAATCAGTGTAAGTTATTTTTATTATTTTAACATAAGTAAAAAAGGAATATGTTGTGATTGATTGCACAGTTGTCCCAGTGGGCTTTTTTGTGCGGCGGTTTGTTAAACAACTTGTTGCATCTTTGATACTCGTCGGATAAAAGGTGGTAATGGAATTTTCTGATTAAAATTAACACTAGTTTTTTTTTTGTGGGACAAAAATCATGAAATGTCTTCTCCCGCCCTGGGTGGCGTGTGTTAACTCGTACTGGATAAAAATCACCCTGTTCCTTCTCCTGCTCCGGGTCGTGGCCAGAGCTTGAAGCCGCAACCCCGACTGAACAAAAATAGTGACAAAAATCCTGTTTTCAAATATTGATTATCAAATATTAGATTATGAATAGATATGTGGGTTTGATTAAAGATTATTACATTTTAGCTTAAAAAATCTACGATAGAGCCAACTTTGCGTGCTCTCAAAAGTCATGGTAATATGTATTGCATGTGTTATGTTTTTAAAAATATAGAAAGTTCTGAAAATAATTTATCTATTATGGTAAAACGTAGTTTGATTGTGGCTGTTTGCGGTCATTAACCAGCAAGTTGACGACTTGTGTTTGCTTATAGACATAAAATCAATATCTTGCTAGATTGTGGACAATACCCACCTGTATCGATTTCTATATTAGGACGTTGACTCTTTGCGGTCTAATATTCCTTCTTTTGTAGAGAATGATTGTACTTCGAAGTTCCTGGTTTAGTGTTCAGATTGGTAAATGAAGGTTATTTTTCGATTCTCCACAATTGATCCCCTCATATTTGTGGCAAGTATGCATTGGGAGAAATCGATCGAAAAACAATAAGTTTTTCCACACTTTGATCGTTTTAGCTGCCTCTATTTCCATATTCTCACCAAACTATACGATGGCTTTTCGAGCGAGTAAGAACTTTTGCGGCGGTTGGAGCTGAGATGGATCGCTCTTTCACATGGTCCACCGCTTCCTTTGCTAGCATAACTGCTGCTTCGCAGAAAGAGGAGACTGTTTCCCAGTCCCTCTCAATCAATCACTATCCAATTCGACCCTGCCGTGCGTGATATATCTTCAACCCATATCAACGCGGGGTGGCTCTTCCTTTAGTACTTCCCCAGAATCTCTAACCGAGCTGTCGAGTAGTCTCATAGTCCATTCTCGCCATGTGACCTACCCATCTTCATGTCAGCACATAGTTTATACAGATTGCGTTCTGTATTCAAATTCATCTGTTACATGTCGATAATCAGATAATGGAAAACGGGCAAGTAATCAGTAGTTTATTATTTTAAAATATACCCATGATGTAATACGTATTTGCTTGATAGGTTTACTAATAAATAAAAATTGTTGTGTGTATGAATGTATCTATTATTCTATTCGTTCTATTCCAACGTTCGATGACAATGAGTTCGTGAGAGCCATTAAAGTGGCTACGCTTTTGACAGAGGCCGAATAGCAACGCTCTCTTATAAACTCGAGCCTTTTAAACTGCGATCGCCAATTAGAATATACTAGATGTAGTTTAGAAATTTTACCAGACCCCTTGTAGAAGAGGACGTGGATTATCATTATACTAGAATGGAGGTGTTAACCACAACTGTTTAATAATATTTTTTGGAATAGTGTGTAACTGTAATTCCTAAAAGCATAGGTCGACTCGATCGGTGTGATACCACGGCCTCACAGGAAACCAGCAGAATGAGATTACCGGAGGGCCAATCCTATCCACATTCCCAATTTCCAATCTCCAATTCCCCGAATTCTCAAATAACATTACCATCAGGGGATACGTCTGCTCGTTTGCCAAAATATTTTATAAAACATGGATAAGTATTGTGATATTTTCTGGTACCCTTTTCTGCCTTTTAAGTTGATGATATTTCCTTACGTATTTCCCTTTGTGCCATGTGATGGCGGCTGCAAAATCAGAAAATCTCTGATACCCTGCTTTCTGAAAAACGTGGCTCAGCCTGGCAGGGAACTGTGAATATTAATTTTCCACTCTATTACAAACGTGGCCATATCAGAATGATTGAAGGTAGATTGTCTAATCACTTGGCTGATCTAGATTTTCCGTCGTACTTTAATAGAAGTTAGAGCATTGCTATTTCGAGGTATTATGTGTCAGTCGTATTTCCAATTGTTTACGAGGTCGTTTGTGGGTTGGTGGGCATTACATGTGAGCAACGTCGTTATATCAACATAATTGGACACATTTTAGGAAAGTTAGGCACTAGCCAACCGTAAACAGTACGTTAAAGCAAGCGAGTTGCATTTTGTCAAGACATCGCTTTTGTTCCTGACTTTGTGCGTTTAGGGGGAAAATGCAAGTGATGAATAGCAATCGGCGCGGCCGGTGAACACCAGAGGAGTTACAAGTGCATTACTGGTTTTTTCGGGAGTTAGGGATTTGAGGATTTGGGGATTAGCGGTGGGAGAGCGAAGATTGGAATCACCTTCTAACCTTCCTCCTCGATCATACTGCGAAACACAACGTAATTGTTATTTGCCGAGGTCGCAGGGTAGGCGCAATAAGGCACCTCGGCCTCAGCGAAGAGCTGCCTCTGCCAGAGCAGAAGAAACGGGGACCCAGTAAGACTCAGGCGGAACAAAATGGGACTCAAATGACTTTCCCCCTGGGAGCCCTCCCGGATTTTCTTCCTGATTTTAGCCTCACAAACAAAATGAGTTGTTTCACACCGGTCGTCTGTGAGGCCGTGGTTTCACTGTGGTTGAACCGGTTCATTTTCGCCATAGCATGGTTCTTGCCTTGCCTTGGTTTAATCTCGAACGTGGTTGGGCTAAAAATTACTCACACGGTCGGTTGTGATAGTGGACTTAAATTTTCCTGATAGAGGAACAAAGGTGTGATGTGTCTTAAACTATTATTGTGTTATGTTGTATAATGCAAGTACTTGGCAATCATCCTTCTCAATGCGAGTACTTCATAAAATGATATTTCAGTAAAATTACATTGCAAATGACAAATTCTTGGTGATAGTTATGAAGTGTGAAGTGAGATTACTCACAAGGAGGCCCAATCCTTTTTTTTCCTTTAACAGGTTGGCAACGCACTCGTAACTCCTCCTTTGTTGCTTGCTTACAATCAGATAATCTGTCTGCTCGTTCGTCTTTCTATCACATAAAAAATGAAGTACGTAATATAAAATACAACACATACTGTGTACAATAATAATTAGGCTTTCTTTACCTTTATAGCGAACTGTGGGAATAAGCACTTAAGGCACCCCCTTTTTAGGGTGTTAAGCTATATGTATAAAGATTGTTTAGAAAATCGTGAGCAACAGTTCGCTTACATTTTAATTAAGCTTCTTTCGTGTTTCATTGCTGTGAACACCTGTTGTTTTGTGTTAGGCACGCTTAATTAGGACTTGATTTATGCATTGGTGTCACGTAATAACACCATGTCTGTGTTTATTCTGCACAGAAGAAAGTGGTGACTGAATTATACCTAAAGTTTTTTGGGGTTCAACCAATGAATGTTACATAACTTGCATTGCCCTATCGACAAATTGTTATGTAACCGTGGAAGGTTCCGGAAAATGGTCGATGCAGCTGCAGGGCCGGGTCGTCACGCAGTCGCAATGCATCCCTCAGCGTTGCACGCCTGCGCCACAACCTTTGTCATTTGGTATCGATTCAGTCTACCTTGGGAACTACCTATGCGGGTCTAGATTTATCTTGCAAGCCCCGGCCCAACGCAGCGCACTTGGACCCGGGCAGCCGAGGTGATCGGACGTGTGTCGATATTGGGAAGTGATTTCATATTAAGCCGATTTCATTTAAGGGTTTCTTGGGGAGATTAGCTTTTAATATCGTTTCGGCCATGTTTCATCGGAGCGTACTGAGCGATTTCGTTGTTAGAAATCTTCTTCTATCAGGTAATCACTCACTTCTTCTACTCCTCCTTCCTTTGTGAGTCAGTTCTACGCCTTTTAATGTATGCATTTCTCTGTTCAGGTGAACTGGAAGGACATAGCTGGCCTCGACCAACTGATCCAGGAATTGAGGGAGACTGTCATCCTGCCGATCCAGAAACGCGAGCTCTTCGCTGACAGCAGGCTGACGCAGCCACCCAAAGGCGTGCTTCTGCATGGTCCCCCAGGTGAGAATCTGAACACTTACTTTATTGCTTCCGTTGCTATTGCAACTAAAGTATATTTTCGGGTTCGATTCCCGGGCTTCTTTGTTACTCTTTTTAGGTCACATTTTTTGTTCTTCTTTCCTGCGAGCGTTTCCGATACCGGCGTCGTTTGATACGTTTTGTAATAGGTCACTTTCTATGTCCTGCGAATTGGCGAATTGTCGAGTGAGCAAGTGCAACTGTCAATCAATCGTTCGCTTTTGGGATCGATTCTGGAGTTCATTGTTGTCGGTTATGAAATTCTTAGAAATAGGATGCTATCTGTTAGTATTTTTGGGCTTTTCCTTTTAAGAAGTAAGCGACGTACTTTCTTTGTTCGCTACGTTTCGTTATAAGTGCGCAGATGCGCAGTCGGACCACACCCTTCTTGGGTGTGGTTCATCTGCGCATTTGTGGAATGGTATGTGGGGGGTAGGGGGGAGGGGTGTCAGGGGGATGGCAGCCCACCTCACAAGTATTGAACGACCCATAGATACTACTAAGAAATATTGAAATATAGTGCAACAGTTTCTTCAATTTTCCTCAAGATTTCGTATCCGATTTCGAAGTTCTTTATTACGTTTTATAGGTCACTTTCTATGTTATGCGATTCGGCGAATTGTCAAGTTGTGCAAGTGCAACTTTCGATTTTCGATCATTCATTTTTCGAGGTCCCACCCCCGGAGTTATTCAGCCGGGGTTGCGGGGTAAGCGCAATGAGGCACCGCGACCTCGGCCCAGAGCAGGAGAAGGAACAGGGGGGTTTTTAGTCAGTAAGAGTCTGACACTCCCTCCCGCTCGGCCCTGGGTGGGAGAAGTCATTTGATGATTTTCCCCTCACAAAAAAAACCCCGGAGTTAATTTTTGTCGATTACGAAATTCTTAACAATAGGATGCGATCTTTAATTTTTAGTCGGTATTTTTGATAGAAACGGGGCGCCGGGGCTTACTTTCTTTGTTCATCACGTTACGTAATAAGAGCGCAGGTGGGGTGTGGTGTGGTGTGGTGGGGGGAGGGGTGGGATAGCAGTTGCATAATAAGTATGGGTGTGTACCGCTCAATTCGTCGACCGCACCCTGGCTGTGCGCGGCGCACCTGCGCACCAAAGCCGCGTGGGGGGGGGGGGGATGCGTTGATTATTGATCGATGATGTAACAATGAATAAATAAGTGATGATAGGTATATTACTAGAAATGTTACAGTGCAAATGACCATGAGAACAAATGCGCAGGTGCCTCGCGCCCAAGGGACCACGCCCTACTTGTGCGCAGCGTACTGTCACTTGTGGCGTAGCGTACTGTCACTTGTGGCGTGGGGGAAGCGGGGAGGGGGTGGAAGGCGTTAAATGATAGCGTGACAATATTTTTTTAATACACCTAACAATTGAAAATTATTAAAAAAACATGACAGGTTAGGCGCATAGAGATAAGTAAATAGTAACAAATATAGTGCTACTTTTAATTTTGGTTAGTTAAATCACGGGTTTTAGTTTTTTTCTTCTTCACGTTGCGCAATAAATGCGCAGGTGAGCTGCGCACAGATAGGGTGTGGTCGTCAACTTAGGCGCGACGGACCTGCGCACTTATCACGCAACATGAAGGAGACCAAATGTTCCACTATATTTGTGACTATTTACTAATCTTATGTCCCCAACCTAACACCGAATTTTTATAAATTTTCAATTTATGGGTATCTCAAAAATTATCGTCACACTATCAATTAAAGCCTCGCTACCCCTTCCTCAACGCCACAAGTTTGCAAGTGCGCTGCGCAGAAGTAGGGTGTGGTCCCTTGGGCGCGACGCACCTGCGCACAGGTAGGGTGTGACCGACAACTAGGGCACGACGCACCTGCGCACAGGTAGGGTGTGGTCGACAACTAGGGCACGACGCACTTGCGCATCTGTGGAGTGACAAGGGGGAGGAGGGAGGAAGAATGCGTTGGGCGACAACCCACGAGTATTAATCGATCACGTCATCATCAGCCCATAAGTGCCCACTGCTGAGCGAAGGCCTCTTCTCATACAGAGTAAGGTTTGAGCATTAATCACCACGCTTGCTCAATGCGGGTTTTCGATTTCAAACTTATAATTAGAAATTATAAGTCCAGGTTTCCTCAAGTCCAGGTTTCCTCGCGATGTTTACCTTCACCGTATGTCAGTGGTGTCTAAATAATAATAGAAAGTACATATAACTCAGAAAAAGTCACATTGGTACTTGCCAGGTTTCGAACCTACACCCTCAATCGATCACGTAACAATGAATAAATAAGTGGAGATCGATACATCAGATACATCGGGTATATGGTCATTGGTTTTCCTTTCGAGGAATCAGCGCCGTGATGCACTTTCTTTGTTCCCCATGTTACTTAACTTGTGCGCAGGTGCGTTGCGCCCTGGGGACCACACCCTACTTGTGCGCAGCGCACTTGCCTAACTTGTGCTTGAAAAGGGGAAGAGGGCGGGGTTATCAGGGGGGATGGGGTGTCAGGGGGTGGTAACACACCTCACAAGTATTGAACGATGCGTTTGGGGTTCGATAGCGAAGTGATAACGATACTATCACTCAATGCTGGGAAGGGTTTCTTTAAAATAGACACTATGTAAGCGTCTCCTTATAAAGGAACATTTTCTTTAATGTACTTTCTTAGTTTTCCACGTTATTCAAGCTCCCCACGCTATGGCGTGAGAAATATAGCAGCCCACCCCTCAAGTATCTGTAAGGCCTTCAGTTATTTCCCAACCACACCCTATAATTGAAAACCAATAAATTGCTAAAATAGGTACAAGGGGCAAAGGCATTAGCAATAAATGTATAATGCAACATTTTTGTGACAGAGCAACGTTCACGTGTACTTATGTCAAAACAAAATTTAATATTTGCCGAAAAAAAAAATGCGCACGATTGGCTCACTTAACCAACCGCAACGCTGAAAAGGTTGCGCAATGCTTTATTTTATTCATACCATATACAATAGATCTCCATTATGGGTTTGTAACTTTCATGTCAACATTGTATAACTTTTTTCACTTCATTTGAACTGGAATACAGTATGCAACAAATAAGGTAATGTTTAATTTAAAGCAGGTGTTTGACGGCGCCGCGGCTGCTAACAATAATTCAAAGTTTCGCGAAAATATTGCGCAATATATTGTAAGCATTTACTTTTTACAACTGCAACTAAGAAGTTGCAGCAAAGTTTCACTCACGTGAAAGCTCAACTATTAAATTTCACTGAAAAAGTTTCGCAACAGTTGCCAGTTTCAAACGTGGTTACTAAGATAAGCTTGAGTGAAGCAATAGATATGTTGCTTAACATTCTTTTGTTAATGTTTCTCGACAAATTTATCCACGACTCCTGTGCAACATATAACCGTAACTCAAAAAGGCTTTACTTCAATTTTGGGGAATACATCGCGCAACATCAAACCGCTTTTTACTTTTCAAGCACAAGAGTTTTACTTACTTACAAACTGCAACGAAAATACCAATTACACAATACTTAGGCTTACTGCACATAAAAATGTGTGTACTGCAGGACAACAACTGTGTCTTCAATATAAAACTTATTGATTTTGAACTTATTTAGAAAACAATGTTAAGCAACATTTATCGATTGACTGAAAATTAAATTATTTCGCAACATTATTACGAAATTGTTTCGCAAAATTTGCTAGTGTGTGCTTCAGGAGTTATAAACGAAATCTATATAATAGACTTAATATCAACAAGCCGTTCGTAATTCTAAGCCTATTTTCATTAGAGGGTTTGCCAACATATCCAGCCCTGACCTGACTAAGAGATTGTAGTTTAAAAAAAATTCAAGATTTTAATATACAACACTGCGGTTTCTGAATCAAATGTTCAAGGTCTTTACTGGCAGTACATGACAGACTTATCTGCATTTACTTAAAGATTTGTTTGTTTATTTCAGGGTGCGGTAAAACCCTGATAGCTAAAGCGACGGCGAAGGAAGCGAACATGAGCTTCATTAATCTGGACGTATCGCTATTGACGGACAAGTGGTACGGTGAGACACAAAAGTTGGCAGCCGCTGTGTTTAGCCTGGCGGTCAAGCTGCAACCTTGCATCGTCTTCATAGGTAAGACCATTTTGTTGAATATCCCCCAGCCCTTGATTCGATTAAGCCTCAGTGGTTTTTAATAAGCTTGGAATAAGGGTTGAAATAACTATAGAAGAACTATCTTCTACCAAATCTTTGGACATCCGCTTACAAATTAATTGCCTTTTAAATCATCGATTCTGAATCTCAACTACCATCATCTAAACTTGCCTGCTATTATAAATTTGGCAGACGAGATCGAGTCATTCCTGCGTACGCGCACGCAACACGACCACGAGGCGACCGCCATGATGAAGACGCAGTTTATGTCACTGTGGGACGGCCTCATCACCGAACCGACCTGTACTGTAATTATAATGGGTAAGTCCACAAGTTTCTTTCATATTTTGTATTAGGTTTTGCTCGCTTTTCCGCTTGCGTTTTCCATAATTTTTTCTAAATTTTCGATAAACGAATCTTGCGCATATTTTATTTGAGAACGTGACTTTTGTGTATTAATGTTAAAAAAAGTAAAAAAATATTGGACAGTTAACAATACTTTTATGTTACTGCCCACACAAAAGAATAAAAATATTACAAGTCGAAATCAGTTAAATCTATTTATGAATAATAGTTATGTGTGTGTTGAATACGTTTCGTAAAGTGTCCATTTTGATAATATTTCTACTTAGCTTTGGTCCGATTCGAGTGTGAACAAACGATCAAAAGACAGCGTCGAGTGAAAAATTTATTAAAAAATTCATTTCCGAACCTTTATAATGAAGAAGATTTTTATTTACATAAGACGTAATTTCCTTAATTATCTATTGCTATTAAATTGTACTAATTTGACAAATCCCGGCATTAAATGACCTTTCTCAAGGTATAGACGGCGAAACTTTGACCACATTTTTCTTAGACATGAATCATACGGGATTTTTGTTTTCTTTGATTGATTTTAAAGAAGATCGTATAGAAGTATTCAAGATTGCCACTCGAAAACTTTGTCTTTCGAGGCTTTAGCCCACGAAGGTTTTCTCTGAAAATTTTCAAAGGCTATAAGTCTAGGGAGATACTCGCTTCGAAACGGAAAAACGGTTTAAAGGAGAATAAATTAAATTATTGCATATGTTATATTTGATAATTAATAGAAGACTGCTCTCTCTCGAGGCACAGGCCTGCGAAAAATTGTCAAAATTTTTCTCAGGCCTAAGTCTAGGGAGATATTTACACCAATGCAGAATATCTGGTTTCAATAAATGAGGATTGCCACTAGAAGACTTTGTCTCTCGAGGCTCTAGCCCACGAAGGTTTTCTCCGAAAATGTTCGTTGGCTGTAGTCTAGGGAGATACTCGCTTCGGAGCAGAAGATTTGGTCTAAAGAAGATTGTAAATATTATTGAACTTTGATGTAGAAAAAGTCTTGAAATATTTGCTTCGGTTCAGAAGATATAGTGAAAAATGTTTTAAAGAAGTTTGCCTTTTAGAAAACTTTGTCTCTTGAGGCTGTATAGCCCACGAAGGTTTTCTCCGAAAATTTTCGTAGTCTATAGTTCAGGGAGATACTCGCTTCGGTCGAAAGAAGATTGTAAAATTATTAAACTATGATTTTGAAAAAGTCTAGATATTTGCTTCGGTCCAGGAGGTTGTATACGCAGTGAACAATCTTTAAAAAAAGTTTGTTTGACTTTGTCTCTCGAGGCTTTAGCCCACGAAGGTTTTCTCTGAAAATTTTCGATGGCTAGAAGTCTAGGGAGATACTCGCTTCGAAACGGAAGAAATGGTTGAAAGGAGAATACATTAAATTTATTGCATATGTTATATTTGATAATTAATAGAAGACTGCTCTCTCTCTCGAGACACAGGCCTGCGAAAAATTGTCAAAATTTTTCTCAGGCCTAAGTCTAGGGAGATATTTACACCAATGCAGAATATCTGGTTTAAAAAAACGAAGATTGCCACTAGAAGACTTTGTCTCTCGAGGCTCTAGCCCACGAAGGTTTTCTCCTAAACGAGAAAATGTTCGTTGACTATTGTCTAGGGAGATACTCGCTTCGGAGCAGAAGATTTGGTCTAAAGAAGAATGTAAAAAATATTGAACTATGATTTAGAAAAAGTCAAAAAATATTTGCACTGTCCAGAAGATTGTATAAATAGTGAACAATATTTTAAAAAAGTTTGTTTGCCTCTAGAAGACTTTGTCTTTCGAGGCTCTAGCCCACGAAGGTTTTCTCCGAAACTGTTCGTTAGCTATGGTCTAGGGAGATACTCGCTTCGAAACAGAAAATATAGCTAATAAACAGATAATAAGGAGAATACATTAAATTTATTGCATATGTTATATTTGATAATTAATAGAAGACTGCTCTCTCTCGAGGCACAGGCCTGCGAAAAATTGTCAAAATTTTTCTCAGGCCTAAGTCTAGGGAGATATTTACACCAATGCAGAATATCTGGTTTAAAAAAAATTAGCATTTCCACTAGAAGACTTTGTCTCTCGAGGCTCTAGCCCACGAAGGTTTTCTCCTAAACGAGAAAATGTTCGTTGACTATTGTCTAGGGAGATGCTCGCTTCGGAGCAGAAGATTTGGTCTAAAGAAGAATGTAAAAATTATTGAACTATGATTTAGAAACAGTCTAAGAAATATTTGCTTCCGTCCAGAAGATTGCATACATAGTAAACAATGTTTTAAAGAAGTTTGTTTGCGTTTTTTTTGTCTCTTGAGGCTGTAGCCCACGAAGGTTTTCTAAGGACACACTTGCTTCGGAGCAGAAGATTTGGTATAAAGAGGATTATAACATTATTGAACTTTGATTTAGAAAAAGTCAAGCAAGTTTTGCTACGGCCCCGAAGATTGTATACGTAGTCAACAACACATTAAATATATTGCATATGTTATATTTGATTAATAGAAGACTGCTCTCTCTCGAGGCACAGGCCTGCGAAAAATTGACAAAATTTTTCTCAGGCTTAAGTCTAGGGAGATATTTACACTAATGCTGAATATCTGGTTTCAATACATGAGGATTGCCACTAGAAGACTTTGTCTCTCGAGGCTCTAGCCCACGAAGGTTTTCTCCGAAAATGTTCATTGGCTATAGTCTAGGGAGATACTCGCTTCAAGCAGAAGATTTGGTCTAAAGAAGAATGTAAAAATTATTGAACTATGATTTAGAAAAAGTCAAAAAATATTTGCACTGTCCAGAAGATTGTATAAATAGTGAACAATATTTTAAAATAGTTTGTTTGCCTCTAGAAGACTTTGTCTTTCGAGGCTCTAGCCCACGAAGGTTTTCTCCGAAACTGTTCGTTAGCTATGGTCTAGGGAGATACTCGCTTCGAAACAGAAAATATAGCTAATAAACAGATAATAAGGAGAATAAATTAAATTTATTGCATATGTTATATTTGATAATTAATAGAAGACTGCTCTCTCTCTCGAGGCACAGGCCTGCGAAAAATTGTCAAAATTTTTCTCAGGCCTAAGTCTAGGGAGATATTTGCACCAATGCAGAATATCTGGTTTAAAAAAATGAGTATTGCCACTAGAAGACTTAGTCTCTCGAGGCTCTAGCCCACGAAGGTTTTCTCTTAAACGAGAAAATGTTCGTTGACTATTGTCTAGGGAGATACTCGCTTCGGAGCAGAAGATTTGGTCTAAAGAAGAATGTAAAAATTATTGAACTATGATTTAGAAACAGTCTAAGAAATATTTGCTTCCGTTCAGAAGATTGCATACATAGTAAACAATGTTTTAAAGAAGTTTGTTTGCCTTTTTTTTTGTCTCTTGAGGCTGTAGCCCACGAAGGTTTTCTAAGGACACACTTGCTTCGGAGCAGAAGATTTGGTATAAAGATGATTATATCATTATTGAACTTTGATTTAGAAAAAGTCAAGCAAGTTTTGCTACGGCCCCGAAGATTGTATACGTAGTCAACAACACATTAAATATATTGCATATGTTATATTTGATAATTAATAGAAGACTGCTCTCTCTCGAGGCACAGGCCTGAGAAAAATTGTCAAATTTTTTCTCAGGCCTAAGTCTAGGGAGATATTTACACCAATGCAGAATATCTGGTTTCAATAAATGAGGATTGCCACTAGAAGACTTTGTCTCTCGAGGCTCTAGCCCACGAAGGTTTTCTGCGAAAATGTTCATTGGCTATAGTCTAGGGAGATACTAGCTTCGGAGCAAAAGATTTGGTCGAAAGACGATTGTAAAATTAATAAACTATGATTTAGAAAAAGCCTAGAAATATTTGCTTCGGTCTAGAAGATTGTATACGTAGTGAAAAATGTTTTAAAGAAGTTTGTTTGCCACGGAAGACCTTGTATCTGGAGGCTCTAGCCCACGAAGGTTTTCTCCGAAAATTTTCGTTGGCTATAGTCTAGGCAGATACTCGCATCGGTGCAGAAGATTTGCTTTGAAGAAGGCTGTAAACTAATTGATGAAAAATTTGTTACAAATAATTAGTTACCAGTTAATTTTCGCTAAAAGACCGGTCGCTCGCCAGGCACTACTACTTGGATATTTTGTCTGTCAAGGCTCACGAAGGTTTTTTCCGAAAATTTTCGTAGATTATTGTCTAGGGAAATATTTGCGACGGTGCAGAAGATTTGGATTTTAAGAAGATTGTTAAAACACGACGTGGGTCATGTTTTGCAGATTATTTTCTAATAAGTATGTATCTCAAGGCCCATAGAAGAATATTGTAATGAAACAAACTATTTTCTTATATAGTGTATGCCCTCGAAAAGACTTTCTGTCGAGGCCTTTGCACACGAAGGTTGTCTTCATAAATGTTCGTAGGTTATGGTCTAAGGAGATATCGAATACAACCTTCTTAAGACAATGATATTGCCATAAGAAGATTGTAATAAAATTAATTAAAATGTAAAGAGCTCTAGATTATCACTTTTATTGTTTTTTTCAGATTAGAGAGACATTTATACTATTGCAAAAGATCTTTCTTAATTAATATTGTTATAAAATAATAAAATGATATTACACAGGTGTTAAAAGATTTGGTCTTTCGAGGCTCTAGCCCACGAAGGTTTTCTCCGAAAATGTTCATTGGCTATGGTCTAGGGAGATACTCGCATCGGTGCAGGTTTGTTTTAAAGAAGACTGCAAAAAATTAAAGAGAAATATATTATATTCAATTATAACCAGAAGACGGTTCTCTCTCGAGGCACAGGCCTGCGAAAAATTGTCAAAATTTTTCTCAGGCCTAAGCCTAGGGAGATATTCTCATCGGTGCAAAATATTTGTTTGAAGAGAGGATTGTTATAAAATAATTGAAAAATATTCAATTGCTGTTTACCACAAGAAGTCTGTCTGTCAAGGCCCTAGCCCACGAAGGTTTTCTCCGAAAATGTTCGTTGGCTTAGGTCTAGGGAGATACTCGCAACGGAGCAGAAGATACGGGTTAATACTTTTTTCAGTCTGTGGTTTTTAAATTTGGTTTGTTATTTCATCAGTTTGTTTATTTGGGCTATTTTAAATTTATGATTCGTGGAATGACGCTAGAAGACCACGTCTCTCGAGGCGCAGGCCTGCGAAAAATTGTCAAAATCTTTCGCAGGCCTAAGCTTATGGAGACCCTCTCATCAGATGAAGAAAATTCTAAGAAGATTGTATGCGATTTGCACGATTGCCAAAGTTTGATTATTTGTAATAATAAATTGTCCCAAAAGAAAAAAATAATGTGTAAAAATGTGATAAAGGTAATGATTATTATTATAAAACTTTTAATCTGTAAAGCAAGCAAGCAAGCAAGGCAGATGCAGGATAAGAAATCTTTAAACTTTATCTGTGTAAAATATTGGACTAATGCATTTTATTTCTTACTTATGATTGGTGTGTTAGTATACAAACAAAATGTTTCTGTACTTAAATGTCTGTTGCTGGATGTGTACCCAGAGCCTTTTGTGTCTTTTCTGTGTATTCTTCTGGTTACCAAGGGTTAAGCATGCATTTTTTTCTGATTGAGTTTTCTGTGCTTCTTATGTATATGTATAGGTACAAATATATTTATTTTTATCCTGATGTTCTTCTATGGCAATAAATGTTTCCCCTATTTATTTTGTGTTTTGTTTATTTCCTTTCTTTTTGCGAATGTTAGAATCGACTTTTCTTTTTCTACAAGGTTCATATTTATCAGATTTGTTTCATTTTTAAATTACGTGTCGATGTTCTAGTTGTTTCGGTTACAGTGCGGCCGACCTATCTTGGCGAGTCTGAAGTTAGCCGTTTGTCTGCGCAATGGATCTTTTAGGAACAAAATTGTGTACTGCGCAGCTAATCGGCTAACTTCAGACTCGCCAAGATACGTCGGCCGCACTGTAATTTGAACAGTGTATTTAGTTGGTTGTTTGTTCGTAGGTGCTACAAATCGTCCCCAAGACTTGGATAAGGCGATCCAACGTCGAATGCCGGCCACATTCCACGTCCCAATGCCGAGTGAGAGTCAACGCGAGAGGATCTTGCAGCTCATTCTGCGCTCTGAACCTGTCGCCCCTGACGTAAGTAGATTCTTTTCTTTTTACTCTTTTTAAAATAACGTTGCCCCGCATTGGGATTCGCTCCTGTGTCGTGAGTGCGGTTACAAACATACAATATCACATACACCATATACCACCAGACAACAACAAATTGAAGAACAACAATTTGTGGATCACACAAAAAGTTGTTCCGTGCGGAAATCGACACGTTGCAAGGCAGACAGTTGCCCAGCCACCGCACCGACCGTGCAGTCTTAAACCAACATAGTCCACATCCTTGGTACACATGTTATGCTTTGCTAAAAGTATTGTAAATATAATTGTACTAGTTCATGTAATACTATTCGCAACAACAAGAGCAGCTAAGTTCAATTGATTTTTTCTATTTAACATTTCAAAATTTTTCGGGAATAAAAACTGATTTTATCCTAAAGTTTCTGTCATTTTACGAAATAGTTTTTAATGGTATATGTATGGTTTGTCATCAGATTGATTTCAAGCGGCTAGCGGCTTCCACCGAAGGCTTTTCTGGATCTGATCTGCATGAGCTATGCAGACAGGCTGCCGTGTACAGAGTCAGGGATCTCGCCAGAGATGAGATGAGCAAGGAAATGAACGAGGTAAGCTATTATCAGCCTAGAAACACTCATCTTAAAGATCATTATTGAAGAATTTTGTTAGTAAACGTAAACGTAATGTATTTACTATGATGACTTTTAACTGTTAGCTATTGTATAATTTGTTACGAATATTTAATTTATCAAATATAATATTTTTCAGAGTACCACCGATGTTGGAAAGTCAGGATCTGATTCTGACGAAGAATATGTAGATGCGGTCCGTCCGATAACGATGGATGACCTTCGTCTCTCACTTAGCAAGCTCAAGGAGTCTAAGATCCAATGCGGCACACTCGCACCTTCTATGCGGATAGAACTCGACTAGTTGAAACACTATCTAGCGGTCTAACTGACGGTACTTAGTATAACTTGGAATTGTGACTCATATAGGTACATTATTTAAAGAATTCGCTAAACTGATGGCGCCACTGTCGCTTTTGGCACTGCATTTAGGTGACGTTTTTTATTTCTTTGTTAAACTCAGTCAAATTTTAGTCTCAAATAGCGTCGAACACGTAGGCGCTAGTTTAATCCCTAGATCAAAGTTGAATATGCATAATATAATTATTGATTCATTACATAATGTGTCTATAACCCCGGAAGGTGGATGAGGATCGGTACAGCCGATAATTCTCTATGTGTGTATATTATGGGGATAATCTTAAAGGCATGATGGTGATTTTACATCACTTGTAAAATGACGATTGAGAATTATAGTGGTTCGTTTTCTATCCACATTCGATGCAGAGCCGGTCCTTATTAACTTTTGGTGCGATCGCATTGACATAGGACCGGCCCCGCTAAATAGTTCGGATAACTTCAAAACTTTACTTAAATAAAAAATTGTGCTATTTATTCAACTAACGTTATTTTTGGGAAGTGTTTTTGTTGGAACATTGAATTGTGTGTTATTTAGCCTTATTACTCTATAAATCATTGTCAGCTTATGAGATAAAAGAAGTATTTGATTCTTATTGTTGTCTCTTTTACACTCTTGCGTGATTATGATGAGTGACAGAGATAAACAGTTTACAAGTTAAATATCCTTGTCTCAACCTTAATTTAAATAATACATGAATACAGTTACAATATATGTGTATGCATAAATCAGTACCTGAAACTAACCGACCAAGTAATTGTTGAATTTCGTCTTTATTGCGTTGGTCATAAGTTTTACAATCAATTGTCTTGAAGATCGCTAGAAGATTACTTAGATGAGATCGACCTAGGTCTATGGCTGTGCCTAGGTAGGTTCTAGTCTTTTTTAAGGGGGGTGTGATGACTAATTGGAGTGGTTAGATTGATGTAAAAATGTCGGCAAAGCTTGCATATACGTATTGAAATGTGATATAAAAGTAACTATTAAGAATTTCGGCGTGGTCCCTGAGTTTATGGTTTAAATTTGGACTTTTGTTGAGGTTCAAATTAAATTTCTAGTATCTTCTAGTTTAAATTAAAAAATAATAACAATATGGAAATCAAAACCTAATGAGTTCACTGCTGTCTAAAAATTAAAATGTAGTATTTACCTATTTTGCGATTATCAATTATATTTCTAGATGTTTAAAGTTGCTTTTCGTTTGATATTAATCTATCCACTCCATTTCAGTCGCAATCTATGTTTAATTCCGTTACCATTGATATTGTAAATTATTACGTTGTAAATATTCGATTGTTTATGTTACAGTCGAAAAATCAACCCTATTCGCTTGTTTTAAAGTCGGTGTTGACTAAAACATTATGTATTTGTTCTAGGACTGGTCGTAATGTCATATACATGCAATATATGCATATAAGTGGTCTTAAAACAAATGCATACAATGTTATAGCATAGTATAGTTAGATATATTTCTTGTGGCTATGGTATTTGGCGTATTCCGAATATATGGTGCGTTATAATAAAAACTATTGTCTCTAATTTAGAACTTTATGTCTCTTGACATTAAAGTTGAATTTAACACGCCTAGACTTGGCTTAAATAAAGTTCTAGATTAAAAACAAAATTTTGGCAAATGACGCAATAATTGTACGAGAAAGAGTGTCGAAGCATAATGTTTTAAGTACGACTTTGACGTTATCAAATAAATTATAACAAATTAGTTTCGTCTCTTAATGCTAACAGAGATCAACGTTAACCAGTGAATGTATTTTGGCAAAGAATATTAAAATCATAATAAATATTTACCTAATAAAAATATTTCTACTAAAATTACTTTATCAAATTATCGATGTGTACATCTCTAACGAAAGTTTAATAGACACAGCTGTACTACCGTTAATTATTGTTATACTTTCAAAGAAAGTGAAATAATAATCAATTAGTGTTGTCGTATTTAATACACTTTCGATTTATCGATAGATGACGCGGTGGAGCCGAAATGACCTTATTACGAGCAGAATTATAACAACCGATGCAAATTACTTAAAAATAACCAATTTTATTCACTTATCGATATTCGATAAAAAACATCATAGTTTTTTTAAATCAAATCATTTCAGCTCCCTCGTTATGATTAAAAAAATTAAAGAAATAAAATAATATATTGTCTACTTTGCTGGCAAAGGCAGACATGAGATGGAAACTCTAAAAATGTTTATTACATATTTGAAATTCTAAAAGTTTATTCCAATGGAGATGAAATTATATTTATCGATTGTTAATAATGTAGATACGCTTCTCGATATTATTGTGATGCTGATCGATATGTTTGGATGTTAAATAGTTGTAAGTCGATGTGTGGATGATGTCATTTTTCGGTTGTCTGGTCGAATTTGTTCGAAACATACCGATATATTTATCGGCATCGATGTTCTCAGCACTATGAATGTATTAGGAGTATTGTGGATTTTGGACTAGCTTTGGTTCGGGTAAAAGGGAGCCAAGTAAATGTGGGAAAGGTTATTCAATGTATTTGTGTGTAATATACACGGCTTTTTGTAATGGACGTGTGTTTACCATTTGTACCCTAAACAACCCAAGGATTAGGCTCAAACTGTGTGCATTTTATTCGGCTTTTGATAATAGTTGTTAGTTTTTTTTTGTATTGCGTATTAGCAGGGTTAGGATTGGGCTGTGTCGATAAATTGTTAATTTGTAATACATTGTTTTGTCGATATCGCTTTGTATAATATATTGTTGGGGAAAATCGTAGATTTGTAACTGAAGGTGTCAGATATTTTTTCTATTAAAGTTTTGACTAATGAGAAATTATTACAGAAACTTCTTTCTTTTACTTGAACTTTCGATAAAATGTGGTCACATCATTATCTGTTCCTTATTAAAATAGTTGCAAAGTTGCGATTTTCATGTTATAGATTTTGCACAAAGCAATAGCAATTCGGTAATTTATATAAATATAATGAATGAAACTGATTGATAATAAGTTATTTTTGGTTATACAGAAACATGTTTCTTTTTCTCCGCAATTTGCAGTTTGTTTTTTATATGTTATTGTATATTGTTATTTTGTTGATGTGGTTTAACGTCGTTTTGTCATATTTCAATATGATTCCTGGTCGTAATCAGCCGATACGGTTTTCAAACATGCTAACTGTTGACGTCATACATTTTTATAATTGTGAGCTTTTTTACTCCTGACATAAGAAAATGTCTGTCATTTTTTTAAGAGCAAGCATGGCGTCACATGGTTTTGTCGCATTTTGTCGAATCTCATTAAATTCGGGTTCGCGACATGTATTTCCTAATGTAGTAAAATGTGTGGCCAGTTGTCAAAATGATTTTATAGATAAACCAACCCCAACAATTTTTAAGACTTTTTCGCTAAACAGATACATGTGTTGTTTTTATTGCCAATGATGAACTTGATGATGTACTTGAACATAATATATTTATTGTGTAAATAAAAGCAATAACTAAAATAGAAACTTCGTTTTATTTCAATCGTTCCTCACACTTACCGTATTATCGTTAACGGCTCATTTTCTGCCTGTTATTTTGTAGGACACGGAAGCTATGAGTATAATGATTATATGGATGCATCAGGGAAATGCCAAATTATGTTTTCCAATCAAATCTTTTCGTTTTATGCATGGCGCTGCCTTAGCTTATTAGAATTAGTTGATCTTGGATTCGTCATTTCAGTTTTTATTTAATACCATTTTTAGGCTGTCAGTTTTTTTAATGGTCTTCAAATGGGTCGTTGAACGTGGTCGAATCACCTGATGGTAAGTAAGCAATCAGCGCCGCCTATGGACACCCGCAACACCAATGGAGTTACAAGTGCTTTGCCAGCCGTTTAGGGATAAGGGTTTCGGATATTTAAGAATGGTTAATTGGAAGGGATTGGGCCTCCGGTAACCCACCAGACAGGTACCAGTACACAGGTAACCTCACTCATAAGGCGAAACAACAATGTGGTTCTTCCACGCCGGCTTTGCTGTGACGCCGTGGTATCAATCCGGACGACCCATCCGTGCCAAGGTTTGGCTCTCCCACACTATTATTTTTTTATATGATTGCTTTATTTTTATTTTCAATACCTAAACAAATAAAAGATGTTAATGCATTTTAACTTCATAGACACTGTTTTATTTCGATTCACAAGTTCCTTTCTACATTTACGTTAAACACTTGAGCACGTAAATTTATCAGATCATTTGGATTGCCTTCATATTATATTAACAAGTCTTTTTCCAATCAAACTTACTCTTATCCACATAGATACTTAAATTGCTAACTTAATTACGTCATCTTAATTACGATATTTATAGAATACCTACAGATTTTAATTGGCAGGACATGACAGCTTCATGAACGAATAAGTTCTTGACCGCTTTATTCACAATCACATAACAGATCTTTTAATATTCCAGGGAACCACTTATAATCTACCATATTCTAAAATCGAACACTTTGGAATTACACATCTTCATAGTTTGACAGGTCCTTTGGTCATCGACGATATGTAAACTGAAAAATGAAGAATAAAATACAAATTCGCGACGAATACGATTTCTGGGCCTCGTTCTATGATTTATCTTTAGTTAAATTATCTTTTTTGACACTTATATTAATATTTGGCAAGGTATTTTAATAAGTGAATAGGGGATGCCGCAGGGTTTTATATTGGGGCCAGTATTTCAGACAACAAACAAAATAATGTGTTTTGCCGAAATATTTATATCATCAGCATATATGTATTTGAAGTGTCCCCTCAATAGATGAGAGTATTTACGTCAGTATAAGAGAACAAATAGACGACAGAACTAAACCGTTTTTGTGCTGTCAATTTAGTTCGACGGACCGGAGGTTGGCGCCGGAAAAGGTATCAAATATGGTCTGAGGTCTGGATGAGGGTGATGATTCCGTTCCATCGTCCATTAATTCTCTTCCAATGGTATAAAATTATAAATATGAAATAGGTACCCTTTTATATCCTCGTTTTGCTTTCGCCTTCGTCTTCTTGTTTGGTTTCTTTCGCTTGTGTCGGTTCATGTACTTTTTTCGTGATGGAACGTAGCTATAGGAGGGACTGACGTCCCGTATCTGATTTGTCAATATTACCAGTCTCAGGATATCTAAAAATAAGTGAGAGAAATTACAATGACATTCTTACAGATAGGAAGATTATGTACTTAGTTAATTATTTTTATTAGAATAATAAAAAAATGAAAAGTTTTGGCAATCAGAAATTTTCTGTGGCTATTTTGGGTTTCAGATAATCCCCTTTTTATAAAATAGGATAGCAAAGGATTAGACGTGTCACCTAACCTAGCGGTAAGCAATCAGTGCCCATTAACACCCACAACATCAAGGAGTTACAGCCTTTTGGTGTTTATAGGATTACGGATGAGAGGGTTAAATCTCCAGGAATCTTAGTCACGTGGTGAAAAACTACGTAAGCGTTGGTTAACGACAGTTTTCTATGAGGTTTGATCGCCAGGTTGAGCCAGCCATTTATACCAAAGCATGTCATGCTAACAATTGAAATCGAGTGTGGTAACCATTATTTTTGTTTAGTTATTCATTTAATTGTCAGTTGGCTCAGCAGTATGCAATAGCTAATGAGAAAAGCTTCGCTCAACTATACATAGGTGAAAATGACTAACTAAGTACTAATGCTACATATACGCAGTGAGACAGCACCCGAATTGTATAATACAAGGAACCGAAGGCACTATGAGGAACCAAGAGTTACTTAAAGTCAGATGAGGATTTTGAAGTTTTCAATTTACAATAGTGTTTTATGTTTAGAAGATAATTGGTCAGCATGTCTGTATGTAAAAGTAGGTAGGCAATATAAACTTTGTTTACCACTAAAAATAGAATCTTCCAAAATCTGTTTTTAAGAAAGTTAATTTAGAAAGTTAAGAAACTTAATTTTTAAGTAATTATTACTTAAAAATTAAGTAAGTTTCAAAGTCAAAACCAAAGTCAAACTCAAAGTAAATGTCAATTTCAACGTCAACGTCAATTAGAAAGTCAAGCTTAATTTTTGGTATGCGATTAGTGTTTTCACGTACTTTTAAATAATCTGAATACATGGAAGATATTTAATTCATCCAAATTTTCAACTAGTGAGTTAGGACGCGCCACATCAAGAACAACCTTCTGCTAATCGGCGTCGACACCGACATCGATTCTATTCAATTTGCCCAATGTTAAGTAAAGGAAGGTACTTTATGGTTGTAGGTGTTGCGAGAAAGGTTGGTTACACTACACATGCAGGGATTAGGTATTATTATAAATAACATTCGAAACACAAATGGCTACATAAAATTCTAAATTTTTATTTAAAATTGCCTATTAAAGAATAGACTGGTACAGAAAATAATTTATAACAAAACTTAACATAATTTATGGCATTAATTAATAAATAATAGACAAAATCTTTGTACCTATTTTCACAACCGTCGTAAGAGATCTCACGGAAAACTGATCCATAAATGAAGATTTTAGATAAAGAGACTTTGTATATCAAAATTGCCAAAGACGTCTTCGTACAGTGATACTAAGATCAGGTTTTCGCTATAACATTTAGGGGTTAACCTCACCTTTCAAATTGACAATTGGCACGTCTACAGGAATACTTTCACTGCCCTTAATGCTGATATCTGAGCAAGAGAAGAAGTTCTCCTGGTTGCCGCAGCCCAGAGCCCCCGAGCCGTCAGCACACACGCCCCAGTTGTTGCCAGCAGTGTACTTCCACTGCAGAACGCAGTGCTCACACACGACATTCGAAGGCAGACGGTAGTTGACATCATAGTAACCGTTTCCAGTTGGGTAGTATTTGGTTCCACCTTCTTCTAACTCTAAGAGGTAGTCAGCGAAGCATTCCTGTGTACTGTCGCTAGGATCCAGACAGAGCCTGAACTCCCAGTATCCCTGATGGTAAGCGCTGATGTAGACTTTGGTGCTGATGACTTGGCCCTGTTCGTAAGCAGCGACAATGTGACCTTGGCCGTATTTGCCACCTAACTCGTGAGCGCGGGGCTGCGCGCTGTCGTAGGCATCACCACAGATACCGCATCTAGAGAAAAATAAATTTGAGCACAAGTTTTACATGATATTTTCAATATCTCCATTTGTGAGGTACCTAAGTGTGGGAGAACCAAGCACGAACACGGCTCGGCCGGAGTGAAACCACGGCCTCACAGAACACTGGCGTGAAACAACCACAGTGTTGTGTTTCGCCGTGTGAGTGAGGTTACCTGAGGCCCAATCACTACCCCTCCCCCCTCCCTTCCCAATCCTTAAATATGCGAGACCCTTATCTATAAATGGCCGGCAACGAACTCGTAACTTCGATGGTGTTGGTCTATTGCTTACCATCAGTTAAGCCGTCTGCTCATTTGCCGACCTATATCATAAAAAAAAACCTTTTGATAATAAAACTCACCGTCCTCCATTAACAGAATACTGGTGGTAGAAACCGCCGCAGTTGAGACCGTCATCGTCGTAGTTGGCTGGTGCGTCGGAGTATAAGCCAGTACGCCAGAGGGAGGCTCTGTTTGCTGGTTCCACCAACCGGCCGTGACCATGTGCGTAGGCCACCAAAGAGGACAGCGCAATCACTGCACTCCAAAACATCTAAAGAAAGAACATACATGTCAAAGTAACGATAGGAGGCACTATAAATTAGGATTAGTTGATAAGGCACATCAATGAGTTATTTAAGGCAAAAGAATAGTTTAACAACAATTTTGATTATCATCTTGCTTTATCTTGACTGAAAGAACCCATAAAATTATATACTTTGTTTGGTATCGAGATCTGTATGGAAAAACTGTCTGTTATTGGCAAATACATTGATTTTTTTTGGTAAACATTTTTCCATGTCAAAATTTCTATATTTAAGTACTTACATTTGAATTATTGTAACGAGTTTTTCAGTAAGTATGAATGAATGTCGCAACTCAGTGTATCAACTGATTAAATCGGCCCTTCCTTCATGAATATATACGGTGACACCAAGTCATCATCGAGAAATCTTATCAGTATTGACGATACGGAGTTTTGAGTGCACATATTAAACTATTAATCATAAAAAACAATAAACCACCGGCTCTTTGAAGTTCAATCAAAGCTGTAAAGATTAGCAATAGGATTTTTTTAATTCTTTTGTGTAAGTGAAAAATGTTTTCGAGTAAATAAATCAATAACCGATTTTGAAAAGGTGAACGTACGGAGTTTTTGAATTATTAGACGAAGGGATTACTGTTAGGATTATAATATTTGAAGTGAACTAATGATGATGGATGAATATAATCCACATGTAAGTACATATGTCACCACCCCTACTCTTCACACGGGACAGGGGCGTCGTAAGATCTGATATAACTGTTGAAAAAATGTGTGTGTATGTGTCCGTGACGCAAATTAAAAATATCATGGAAACTACTGAACCAATTTTAATAGTAGACTATAGCAAATATTGAATAAGCCAAAATATCTTTTTGTTTTTTGTAAGAAGAAAATCACAGGAGAAAATCATTACCCAGGGTGGGGCGAGAGGAGTGTCAGACTCTTACTGACTCCTCCTACTCGCGTCGGTTTCCTCAATGTCGAGGGTCGTGACCACCTCGTGGAAGCAGTGTACTGCGTATTACTCTCCGCCATCTATGTCTATCTGTCACCGAGTGGCTGATCTGAAGATGCTCTATCTTACTGACTAAAAACCTCCTTTTCCTTCCAGTTCCTTCTCTTGCTCTACGCAGACAATGCGGTGCCTCATTGCGCTTACCCCGCAACCCTATTAGCCCTATAGGGTCCCGTGTGTGGTGGTATATCGGCTCTTTGAGGCGCGCGCGGCCGGGGATCATCACTCGATCCCCGATGCCCGGAGTGTTGCCTACTGCGGCGGCTGGGCGTGAGGAGAAGGCAGCTCACGCGCTCCACCTCCTTCTTTGCGAGCATAACTGCTTCGCAGAAAGAGAAGTCGGCTTCTCAGTTCCTCTCGCTCTGCCCAGTGGCCGGTCGCGAGAGGTTGCTGCTGCCGATCACTCTCCGGACACGGCGGTACTCAGCCCAGGCGGGGCACACGGCTACCGTATGCTCCACCGTGTCCTCCGAATGAGGCCAATATACCTTAAGCTACGAACTAGCGCCTCTAGTGATGCGAGGGAGTCATTTAATTATTATATTTTGCATATAGTTATAAAGTTTATATTATTATTCAACACACTTGTTCGTTGCGTGTCGGTGACTTCAGACTTTTTCTTTGGAAATACCATTTTCCTTCGAATGAGTTTGGCGAAGTGATGAGAATGTCAATAAGGCACGCTTTTGTTTGTAGAAATATATGCATACGTCCTACGTATATTTACCAAATAGCTATGTATGCACGGGGTTTTTGGAAAGAAATTTTAAAAGTGGAGAGTAAAAAGTATTTTGTATAATATTTGGGTAGTTTTACTGTTTTGTACGCTCATATTTAGTTAAGGCTACCTTATGCCAGCGGTTTGATCCGCAATATTCGGGGAAAACAAGCATATTACTAACCAGACTATAAAAGTATTCTCAATCCATGTTTATGATTTTTGTTTTAATTATCACCTTATTTTCGCTCAATTTTCAGCACAGTAATTTTATTTTCTTTTTCATTCTATACAACGCATTAGGGGAAATATTAAGCAGGTAAAACAGCGCTGCATAAATAGTATTGATATAAAATTTTAGGTAAGGGAAGGAACTACAGCTAGGGAACCACATTGTGACGTATGATATTGTAAAAGTTTACAAGGGCAATGTAAAAATTTATTGCGTTTAATAAAATTCGTATAATTGTGTCTATAAATAATACTGCCTACATTTCGAAATTGCGCTTTTCAATAAATTCTTATCGTGAGGAAATAATAAACAAAATGGTTTGGGGAAAAGTTATGATGTCATTATCAATGTCAGAATAAAAAAAATTGTGTTCACAAAGTGACGCATACCTAGACAGTACAATTTCGTGAATGTGTATGCAATTAACCAAGTAATTAGTCAAAAAATCAATAAATGTAAGCCATTTTAAGACCTATGCCATATGCCATATGCCAGTTCAAAAATCAACTGGAAAAAATCATAAATAATAACTAACTAATAATACTGCAATAAAACATTAAAATAGCTATTTAAGACTTTTACTGACCACAAACTAGACACAATTTTTAAACAATATCTGTGAGTTATATGTGATTTATCGTACAAGGGAGTGGAAAACCTGGAAAGGTCCAGTTTTATCAAAAAAAGCTGCCCGATTTCTGCTATAACACCTTCGGAAAACAGGGGTGATAAACGTACTACGTACCTAACTACGGTATTACGTCCTACCTTGCTGCTCGTGGTAAACTTAAATTCATACTTTTATTCCTTGGTTTGATGATACGAGATTTGATTTTAGAGAGCAAATTTTTCATAAATTACCTTGTACGCTATGTGGCATTTTATCATTCATCATACTACAAATAGTAAAATAAAGACGAAGATACATAGAAGATGCATATTCCATTTGGAATCTCTTTCTGCAGACCTGCGACAGGATAGTTCAACAAAACACAAGACCCATGTCAAATGTAGCAAATAGACCCAAATTTTAGGAGTGTAGTTCTATAAAAGTAATACCTATTGTTATCTGGCTAGTTGGAATCTACCGGATTGCTCTTTACAAACCTCAAAAGGAGATAGTTACATCAAATTATAAATCTTTTCTTTTGTGAGGGGAAATTCATCAAATAGGATGGGAATGACGCTGTGTTGAACACTCGTGGGAATGAATTATATCAGACTGTAACTGACTAAAACCAACAACAAGAGAAGGAACGGGAACCTTCTCCTGCCCTAGGCCGACGCCGCGGTGCTTTATTGCGCTTACCCCGCAACCACTGCACACCAAATTACCTTGGAAATTTTCTAATCTTTACTAGAACCTTCGCATATTTAGTTCAATCGCTATTTTTACAAAATAACTACGTTCTAATCAGAATTAGGTACGTACTATTTTCGCATTCTTTTTAGTTAGCAAGAAGTGGTTTATTAATGGTGCTATAAACTTTATCTTCTAAATTTTACAATTGGTTTCCGTGAAGACGTACGTCATTGCCGATATGTGTGTGTTTAGAATCAGTGATAACGAATTGTGATTGCTCATTTTTATTCCATTTCCCGTGGGCGGGTGACTACGTAGTAGGTAAGTACCTTCGACACGTGGTCCTAATATTGGTAATCTTCTCTAATAAAAACCTGCCTCTGTTTCGCAAAGGTGCCCAACTACTTCGGCATCAGTCATTTGTTTTGTTGGCCAGTCCTCGGTGTACAAAGAGTGGCATTTGACAGACTTTCCCCTCTATTTTTCAAAAAAAAATCTTAAATATATAGTTACCATTATTCTAACAGAAGCAATCACAGCATGAAGTAATCACAGCATGACTGCACGTTTGGTGCGGTGGCTGGGCAACTGGCTGCCGTGCAACGTGTCGCGGGTTCGATTCCCGCACGGAACAACTCTTTGTGAGATCCACAAATTGTTGTTCCGGGTCTGGGTGTCATGTGTATGTGAAATTGTATGTTTGTAACAGCACCCACGACACAGGAGAAAATCAAAGTGAGGGGCAACGTTTTTTTTTTTAAAAAAAAAGAAAAAAAAAATTAGCCGTTCACGCGTGATGCCATAATCAGTGGTTTTTGGGATTCATATTTATATTATTCTCTGCTCTGGATATCTGCAGCACCAGAGAAGTTGCAGCCTTTTTGAGGTTTTGAGAATTAGACGAAATGGAGTTGAGAAAAATCTGGTCCTATGATAACTTCACTCAGACAGCGAAACACAAGGCATGTGTGGTTTCACACGGGTTTCATATGAGGCCGAGTCTGAAAACACGGAGGATGTATGAGGTTGAGATCACACACAGAACCTATAAAACATTTAGTGAAAAAAAACTGAAACCTCATTGCAGTCCTATAATACAAAAAATATTGTATGTTTGTCACGTTTTCAGGGATTTCCTTTATGCTTTTTTTTATTAAGTTGAAAATGCGTGTTTTTTTTCTATTTATAACAGTCAGTCAGTTTATTAAAAGGGGCAGAATTGTTTATTGATTTCTCTCATGTCGTAAATACAGGCAGAATTTGATCACAATGATAAAATGAATGAATGAATGATTCGAATTGTTACCAGGTGCTTTGATTTTTTGCTGATATTCAATATATATAGAGAGAGAGACAATTTTTATTGCAGACCTTTTTTGCGAACAACATGAATCGTGATCGAAAGAAAATCCGCTATTTTTTATTAAAGTTAACTGTAGGTATTTCATTCAGTTGTACCTAAGAAGTTATAAAAAAACATACATTCAAATTGATTATATTCAACAAAAATGAAACGAGTAAACTGTAGCTTTTCCGTTATTAAATTTTCTGTACAGCAACAACACCGTTCTGGTCTTATGAAGATGTCACAATTGTTTATGGGTGATCATAGATCTCCCCTACAGACTTTCATGGCTGAGGCTCCTTGCTAATTTTATCATTGCTTGACGTCCTTTTTTCAGGGAGAGGGAGGTCCCTCTCCCCTCAAAAAAAGGACATACGAATCACATAATGATTTCTTCGGTCCTGGCTAGTGGTTGTATCAGACTCTTGCTGACTAAAAATCAAGTTCCTTTGCTCCTGTTCCGAGCCAGACCAACCATATCGTTGCGTCTTTTCTGCAACCCTGGCTCAACATAAACCTTATAGTTACTGGGATCCAGTTTTCTATGGCAACCTACGCGACATTTCCGTTATGTAGCATATTATTTTTTTAATCTTGTAGATCACCGAAATGGATGTCGGATAAAAAAGAAAATATTACAATGTGATTTATAAATACTTAGGAAAATAACTTAATCTCTATCTGAAAACTTTTTAGTCATAAGCTGAAAGAATACGTATTTGTGAATATTGATAAAACATCGGTATGAGAAATAAGTAAATATACCAATTAGATTTATTACCTGATAGGGATG